AAGAGCCTGCTCCAAACAAGTGTGGAGCTGGCTCTTTTACCCTTGGAGCTGGCTCCCACACCCTTGGGAGCCTCCTCCCATCAAAGGGAGCCGGCTCTCCCCTTCTCTTCCTCGTCTCTTCGCCTTCTGTCTCCATTTTACACCTCTGCTACCCCACGCCATGACTTCCAGAGGCTGCAACCCAATTCCAGTACACTCCCAATCCATGCCTAAGTCCAGTTAACATTACATACATAGCTTTAAACAGGGATTTATACAAGCAAACATTATGTTTTTAACAGTTTTACAAAGCATAAAACATACTGACAAGTTTCAGTTTAAGCACGAACAGAGAATGTTTTTAATTGATTCAATTAATCCTAAAATTGTTTAAGAATGCAAAGAACACGAAGCCTAAGGGAGAGAGTAAGGATAGAACTTGCCTTTGAGACTTTTGTTCAAAATCTCTACGCCGTCTTCGAAGGTTCCCGGCAATTCTTACTGAAAAACTCATCTGTTCCTCCTCTGCCTCCATAGACGTATACAGGTTTATTTTTCTTTTCCTAAAACCCTAAACAGAGGTAATCTATATATTTATAGAGTTGTACCAAACCCTAAAGTAATTCCAAGCCCCCAAGCTGAATCCTAATCGGCCCAAAGATACTTAATAAAAACCCTACGTCGGCTACAAACGTGACTTCTAAAAATAAAACCCTAATTAAATAAAATTAAAACAAGACAATTAACAATTAAATTAAAATAATTAAACCATTATATTTAATTAAATTAATTCAATTAAAACAACTAAATTAAACCACTTAAACAAAAATAATGAATTAAATACAACAATAAAAAACAAGTCATAATTCAAGTAATAAAATATTTAAACACGTCATGCAACTTAAACACCAATTTAAACAAGTAACAAATATGTCAAATAAACAATTAAATAATTAAAAATTTAATTAAAAGAATAAATTAAATACCAGGACTATCCTTTTGAAATTAGGGGTATTACAGTTCATCTAAGTGACTAAGAAATATTAAGGCTTCAGAAACGTCTTCTAAAAATTCGGATGCATCAAATAAATTTTCTGTAGTTTCTTCTGTCATAGGTAAGGTATTAACATAAGTAATGGCTTCATTTTCTTTTTGAGGAATACAAGGATCTCTAGATGGAATAAAGGTTCATTTCTTAAAAAACTGTAAACCTGTAGGGGTATACATGAATCCTCCAGTGAGTGAATTTATAAAATTTAATCCTAAAATAAAATCATAGGTGTTAGGAATATTATTAACTACACAAGTCTGAGGTAAAACAAACTTTTCATTATTAATTAATATAGGAATGTTTTGGACACAATGGGTTATTGGAAGTTTTTTATTATTATATTGGTTCATGTTAACATTATAGTTTAACTTTACTAAGGCTTCGTCTGGTACTAAATGTTTTTGAATTATGCTTTTGGATGCTCTAGTATCAAGTATAGCTGATGTTTGAACTAATTTTTCTCTAAATTCTAATGTTACCGGGAATTGAATTAGAATAAATGATTTATATATTAAGTTTATAGATTCGACTAGAATATCTTCTTACTTATCTTCATATTTTGTATAGCAATCATGATATAATAAGGTTTTACAATGATTTTTACAGTAATGACCTTCTTTAATAGATGCATTACATTGTTTACAATTGTAGGATGAAAAATGAAAATTAACTAAACTATATTGGCATGATGGATTGCTTACAGTATAAACAAAATTTTCGATTGAATGAAGTCATTGTTTAAAATCTTCATCATTAGCAAAGTTGTTATATAAACTTTCAATACTATATATACTCTCATTATCATCGTCGGAATCATAAATACTTTCTAGTTCATATAATTTTTCTATCTGTTCTTGTATCATTTTGACTGGATTTTGTTTGTATCTATAAGGGCAATTTGGTCTTATATGTCCTAGATTTCCACAAATAAAACATTTGAATTTTCTTTCTTTTGTGGGTAATGTGTTTACTTTATTATCTTTGTTATCTTTATTATCCTTTTTATTATCTTTTTTTATTCTTTACTTTTTATACCAAGGCCGCTTTCTAAATTGACTAGGGTTAGTTTTGACATAAGGTTTTTTATTACGATAGTTCTTGTAGGTCTTACTTTTGTGTAGATTATATTTTTTAAGTTTATTACGCTTATAATTATAATTTTTCTGAGGCATACAACCATACTGGGGTGGAAAATCTATTTGTCTAAACGTATAATAAAATTATTTTTTGATTTGTTTGGATTCTTTACGTTGTCTTTATGTTGTCTACATTCTGCTTTTAATATATTATACACATGATTAACTCTATCTCCTATGGTTAGTGTATCACGTCTAAGATTTTCTAACCATTTTTTCCATATTTTAGTTCCTACACTTCCTGGTAATTTCTGAAGACACCTACCGAGTAATGTTTTATCGCCTGTTTTACCAGTGGCTACAAAATACTCAAAAAACTTATTGGTATAATCTTTTATATATCTAAAATCACAAATCTGCAATAATTCTAAATTACGTAAAGCTTCGTTTTGCTTTATTAAGGTGTCATCAATAATCTATCTTCGCCAACTAATACCTTTTTTATTAGGCTGGTGAGCCTTGAATTGTAAAATTATCTCGTAAGAGGGTATAATCATTGGGATAAGTTATTTTATAAGACTGCCACCAGTCATGTATGGTTCCTTTTAATAAGGTTTCACAATAGGTTAAGGCTTGAGTTCTATTGTCAAAATTGGTCAAAATAGATTGCCTAATACAATCTTGTTCCCAATTTTCGATTACTTTTGCCCAATCTTGGGGATCATGTCTTGCTATGTCTAATATTGTTCCTACTTGTTGTGCTGGTATATTTTCATATTCTCTACGATATTGTGTCAATGTGTACATATTTAGTATATTTCTATTTTCTACATAAGTTTCACGTGAGGGATTTAATCTTTGTCCAGTAGTATAATCGTCATTTATGGTATCACTACTTGAGGCGTTAGTCTTTTTTTGGTCAATCATTTCTTGGTCAATTGACTGAGATTCTAATCCTTCTGGTGCTTTTCCTTCTCTATGTTCTATTACATTTAACTCTTTTTTTACTGTGTTTAACTCTGATGTTGTATAGAAGGATTCAAATCCTACGCTTAGAATATTTTTTTTAATATCATCATTATTTCTTTGTCCTAAGTAAATACTTTCTATAAGTTTGTATTTAGGTTCTGGATACTTGTCTTGTAACGCTTTTAACTATAAATTATCAAAATCGTACATTATTTTATCTAGAATTTCGTCTTCTAATCTATCATAAAGGATATTTATCTCTTTGGGAGATTCTATTTCTATCAGTGTAGTTAAAAAGTCTTTTTGGGTATCATCTACTAAATTGTCTTGTCTTTTATAATTACTAAACCTTATACTAGCTTATCCGCTATTTGTAACATATATCATATTATTTTCGAGGATCTTTTTAGGTATTGTAGTAAGTTTAGGTAATTTCTACTCTGTTCCTTCATGAGTAATACTACTTACTTTTCTGGCTTCTATCATCTGGATATATTTGCTACTAAAAGGTTTAACTATCTCACTAAATTGGGCTTTAAATTTTAAGTTATACTGATTAACTGCTTTTCCCATAAATAAAGTATTAACTAATAGCTTTTCAAATTGTCCTGTCATATTGTATCTTTTTGTAGATATAACTATCTTAATATGTTTACTGAATTCTCTATTAGTCATTGTGTAATTTGGAATACATCCTACTGTTACTGCATTGTCGGCTAAATCTATTTCGGCGCTGGTTATTTGTGTTTGTTGATGGTTATTCCATCAGTCATCATAAATATAAGCAAGTGCTCTAATTTATATTTCTGCTCTGTTTAATCCCATTAATCTTATCATTATGACGCCTAAATGCATGAGTTCTAAATTATTATCATTTAGTTCTTGACATGCTTCGGGTGTTATAAAGTCTAAAATAACTTGATTGTTAACTGTACTTATTTTTCTTTGGCTAAAATAATTGTATATCTTGCTCTGGAAGTCTAATAAATTATTGGAATAAATATTAACTTTATATTTTACCTTCTCCATTCCTTATTCTATATATTTTATAGCATCATGTTCAGTATCATATAAATCTTCTACTCTCATTATTTCTTTTGCTTTTCTAAGGATAATGGCCATTGTGGTATTTGCTTATAAGGTTGAAGTTGTAGTAAATTTATACGCTTGGTCGTTGCAGGTGAGTATTGATTTGACAATTTTATCTCCTTTATTTTATCTGAGATAATTCTTTAGAGGATTCTATGGGAATACTTTCTTGTATCACTTCTAATTTCTCTTCAAGTTTATTAACTTTATCAGATAACTGGAGTAATAACTGGATTAAAAAGTTATTTTGTCTAATATGTATATTAGTTGATTGTACGTCTGTTTTAAAACTTGTAAATCATATGAGTTCTTTATCAATTTTGTAAAGTTCAGTTAACACCGTTAGATAATCAGGATTACTAGTGCTCATAAAACTATTGTAATAACCTTTGGATATCGGTTTTAAGAGATTTTAGGTAGTCTATAATTATCTTTTGATTTTCCGCAATATTTTTAATATCAATGTTGATATCTGTAATTGCGACTAATATTATCTTGTTATTCAAATTATTTGAACTAAAATTCTGTACTACTTGTTCTTTAATATAATCAAGATAATCTCCTAGCCATTTTATAGAGTTATCTAAATTATTAAAATCTATTCTATTCATAAACTAAAATGGTTATCTTTAATATAATTTTAATGTACTAAAGGGTTTAAATAAAATGTTTTGACTTTTAATTCATACGATGGTAAATAAGCAAACTGCGTTCATATACGGATAATGTACCTTTGCTGCTACCACTTATATGTAAATTTTCCTAAATACTCGGTAGTATAATATTACTCCGTAGTACATTTTAGTGTAAATAAATACTATAATTCTATTAAAAACCCCCCACTTTCCCAATTTTCTCTCTCAAGTCTCATTGTCTCAACATTGTGTGCGCTGTGGCGTGAGTTGTAAGCGAGGTTAGGCGAAGAATCAGGTACGGCGGCGATGGATCCAGACGCGGTGGCGAAGGCGTTCGTGGACCACTACTACACCACTTTCGATGCGAATCGGGCGGGACTTGCTAACTTGTACCAGGAGTCATCGATGTTAACCTTCGAAGGTCAGAAGATCCAAGGCTCTCAAAACATAGTCGCCAAACTCACCAGCCTTCCCTTCCAGCAGTGCAAGCACAGCATCACCACCGTCGATTGCCAACCCTCTGGCCCCGACGGTGGTGTGCTCGTCTTCGTCAGCGGCAACCTCCAACTCGCCGGCGAACAACACGCCCTCAAGTTCAGCCAGGTATTCATATACATATATTTGTATATACACGTGATTCCTCCAGAGAGAGCTTACGTTTGCATATCTGTATATATATGTAGACATTTGTCTCTTACATTTACATATATTTATTCTGATCATATTATTTTGGAGATAGGTTTAATGTTCATAGTATTTCGTGTGTATTTACTGTTTTATTGACTGATCTATTTATCGATTTGTCTGAAATTTGTTCATATGTACGGTTGTATAGAATTTGAGGAGTTGGGGTTTTTAGCTGTGTGCGCTATTGATTTGAACTTGTGGATTTGATTTTCTCTAGAATTGGAGTTTTCACTCACTGGATATTTCAATGGAATTTAGAACTTGAAATTCTAATTTGAATCGTGCTTTTGATGTAGTGGCTGATTCGAATGCTTGTGATGCTTTGACCGTGCACTTCGCTAATTGATAATTTCCTTGGTAGATCTAGGGTTTTTGTTTGTTTGTTTTGCTCCACTGTTTTGATCCCTTCTTGTCTTATTAAGCTCACTGACTGAGATCTCTTGGCCCCAAACATTTTATCTCGTTAAAATCTTTCTAGGCTTTATGACCAATTGCGTTTTTAATGAAATTAGAATTTCATGTCGTTTTCTGTCAAATTGAAATTGCATGTTCTCTGTCAAATTGAAATTGGAATTTCACGTTCTTATAAACTGTAATTTTTAAATGACGCGTATCCCTCATTTTCAGAAGTTTTAATCTAATTAGTGTTTTAAACATTTGCATATATATATATCTGTGTTGAGAGGTTTTCATTTATAATTTGATTTGACATACTCTCTTGCCTTGTTGTTTCTCCCCCTCACCTCAGTAATCCGTCACAACTTTTTGAAGGTTTGAAACAAAAGCCACAAGTTTTGTGCATATTTTGTGTTGTTCGTTCCATATGTTCTACCTTCGTTAAAGTACTTTTGAATGTGTTCTGATCTAAATCATATTGCAATATTATGTATATATATGTGTGTGTGTGTGTGTTGAGAGGTTTTCATTTATAATTTGATTGGACATACTCTTTTGTCTTTTCTTGTTGTTTCTCCGCCTCACCCGAGTATTCCGTCACAACCTTTTGAAGGTTTGAAACAAAAGCCACAATTTTTGTGCATATTTGTGTTATTCCTTCCTAATGTTCTACTTTTGTTAAAGTACTTTTGAATGTGTTCTGATCTAAATCATATTGCAATATTACTTAACATTGGTTTCACCAAAGCTTCTCACTAATTTGTTTGACGGATTCAATCGTAAGTAGTAGACTGGTGTTTCTTTCCACGTGCGAGATAAAAGTAGAAAGAGAGGATTCCACTTATCATATATAATTTTAAAAGTTTAGGATTGACATTTGGGTTTGTTATGGTGGGTGGGGGGTTTAATATCCCTTTTTTGAATGAGAGAAATGACAAGAATTGTTACTATTGAACAACTGTATTTCTTTTTGTTTTTAATGCATATTCTTCATTGCTCTTGAACGTCCTTTCTTGCCATAGTGGTAGCTTGATGGGATATTGAATCTAATAATTTTGCATGTTGATGGTGGTGATATTTGATAAGTCACTTGCTTTGTACATAGTTATCCTTAATTTTTACATTGAATCTTTTAAGTGCTAGATCGCAGGTTATATTAATAATCTATGTTGATAACTCACCCCCTTACCCTCCTCCCCTTCCCCTCCAAATAAACAAAAGAAAAAGTAAAATAAATAAGAAGAAAGCCAAAATAGATAATGTTGTATATTTATCGAGGGTGGCAAATTGGATCGTGACCCACCAACCCGCCCATATTCGTCCGCATTAAAATGGATATGGATGAACTATTTTAAAATATGGGTCAAAATGGGTGACCTATAACATGGGTTGAATATGGGTCACCCATTTTGACCCATGTTTCACTCATTATATGAGAGACCCTGTTTAACCTCCTCTATTTGACTCAAAGTCACCCCTTCTTCCTTTCTCAAATTCCCTCGCACGATCCCAAATTCTCTCTCTCCCACACTATCTCTAAGATTCTCTCTACATTATCCTCTTTCTCTCTCTAAAATTCTTTGTAGTACTATAGTGTTGCTCTGCTACATCCACAATACATATACAATGTATCCGTGTGTATTATATCTGCTCAGCTTTCCTACCAACAATATCCTTTGCTTCTTTTGGTAATTCTTGCGACAATATCTAATGGTCCATCCCCTTCTCTCTCTCTACCTGTGCATATACATATGCAAACATATATAGGATGTTGAAATTGAATATCGGTGCTTCTTATCATCGATGGTCTAGAGAGGGAGGGGTGTAATGATCCTAAGGGATTCTTTGGGAATGTGTTTTAGAGTTGCATCAATCTTCTTTTTTGGTTTATCTATTGCAAAAACAACGTAGGCATTTGTCTTGAGGGAATCATTTTCTCTCTCAGCCCCATGGGTTTACAAAGAGGTTGACATTGAGGGAAACTGTAAGTCAATTATGCAGCTTCAAGCAGTGGATTGTTCCCCAAATTCTAATAGAGAATAGTGTTAATCTACTGAAGCATCTCCCAGATCATGGACTCCTTGTGTATGTAATATTACGGCTCAAAACAAACCTATGTTTACATCTGTATTTCATAGTAAGAAGACCTGATTTATTCATTTAATTATTTATTTTATAAAAAGCTTAACAGATGATTTCATATAATATATATATATATATCTTACCTTCATGCATGTCCAGTCATAAAATAAAATAATATAAATTAAAAAAATTTCTAAAATAAATTGGAGAATTTACAATTATCCATCCATATACAAGTTTTTATTCATCTAAAATCAAAAACTATAATTAACCCGTTGCAAGTGGGTTGAATATGGGTTAAGCCGAACCATTTTGACCCAACCTATATTTAACCCGTTGCAAGCGGGTTGAATATGGGTCATAACCCATATTTGACCCTGCCTAAACCTAACCCAACCCGCCCGTTGCCACCCCATATTTATACCCAGACCTTTTCCCAACTACTTGGGGTCAACTACATGAATTCAATGTTTCCATTCTACTCTATTTAAGGTCATAGCCTCAATTAATCCACATGCTACCATATTCTTCCTTACTAAGTCTTCCCGCATTAACTTTGGTCTTCCTCTTCCTCTAGTATTACTATCAATGTGGATTATATCACTGTTTTTTAACTGGCACATTTAAAGGTATTCTTTGCACATGTCCAAACCTATTAATCGATTTTCTCTCATTTTATTACCAATTTGTGCTACTCCAACCATCTCCCGAATGTGATTATTTTTAATTTTATCCTTTCTAGTCTTACCGCACATGCATCTCAACATACGCATTTTGATTACTCACTTTACGTATATGTTGTTTTCTAGTTGCCCAACATTCTATGCCATAAAGAATGGCTGGTCTAATAGCTTTTCGATAGAACATCCCTTTAAATTCTAATTTCTAAGGCGATATGCCTTTCATACGATATACTAGATGCACTCCTCCATTTAACCCATCCTGCCTGGATTCTATGATTAACGTCATTTCCAATTTCTCCTTTATTATAAATAATTGAGCCTAAATAGCGAAAATGTTCACTTTTTGTACCTCTTGATTCTCAGTCCTCACTACATCCTTTTGTATTTGTAGATTTACTAAAGTTACCTTTAATTTGGTATTAACTTATTCTTTAGTCTCATCGACTAAAATAATATCATTGGTATATAACATACACCATGGATCTCATCTTAGATGTGTCCTATCAGCTCATCCATGACCAAGGGAAAAAAGGTATGGGCTTAATGTTGACCCGTAAGTCTATAGTAATTGGGAATTCACTTGTTTCCCCTACACGCGCTCTAACTATAGTCACAACCATTATATATGTCTTTTATTATGTCAATGTAACCTTTTGTGACTCCTTTATTTTGTAAGATCTTCCATAGTAGATCTCTAGGTACCCTATCATAGTCTTTTTTTCCTTTGTTATATGCTTTCTCCAAATCAATAAAACCATATAGAGATCTCTCTGTATCTTTCTGTTAGTCTCCTCAATAAGTAAGAGTCCGTTTGGGGTTGTTGTTGGAATAAAAAAAGCTCTTTTATCAATAGAGCTGTCAAAAAATTGCGGTTTGTAAAAAGCATGTTAGGTGTTTGGTGACACATTATTATAAGTTTTTTTATAATTAAATTATTTTTTAATTTATTTTGTAACAATATTTTTTAAAACATTTCTATTGTTAATTTTACAATAATATTCTTTAATAGAATGTTACCACATTTGATAATAGCAATTTTATTAAGGAAGGAGTGTAATTGTCTTTATAAAAAATAAAAAGGACATAATTGACTAATGAAAAAAGTTACCTAAAATATTAAACTTCTACTCAGAACGCAGTTTTAAAAGCTCCAAATTCTAGCTTTATTCAAACGCCCTACTGAGCCAAATTTGGTAACCATTAAAAGTGCTTTTAATGGTTACCAAACACATCTAAACGCAAATTTTCCAAATAAAAGCACTTTTAAGCAATAGCGAAGCAATCTCAAATGGGCTCTAAATAGTCTCTATGTTGACCTTCCCGACATTGATCCAAATTGATTTTCTGACAATTCAATCTCTCGTCTTGGGCTTTGTTCATTCACTCTCCCGAAGTTTCATAGTGTGACTCATAATTAAATACCACTGTAATTATTACAACTTTGTAGGCCCCCTTTATTTTTATATGTAGGCACTAGAATACTTTGGCGCCACTGATGAGGCATCTTCTTAGTTGTTATTTTATTAAACAATCTTGTTAACCATGACAACCCAACTGTAAAACAGTTCATAGGTATCCTCTTAGTTGTATGTTCATTCTGGTGATATTTGCACACTTGTAAAACAGTTCATAGATACTTCGACGTCTTATTTTCCTTATGCACTAATGAGTGTGGATTTTAGCTTCTGTAACCATATCTTCAATTTTTATTATTAGTGCTCACCTAATCATGTTCCTTTCTTCCTGTGCAAGTGTGTCTAAGTGTTGGACCTACTGGAATCCAAATATAAGGATATGGGGATATGTATTCAAAAGGTGGATACCGGCACATAGACATGTAGTATGCATTTACCTAAATTATACTTTTTTCCTTTCCTTTGATATTTCACACGCTTAAACTAGATTATGGGGATAGTAAAATTTTCACATCCAATCTCTGTTATATGTGTAGTGCTAACATGTTGATTGATGTTTTACCTGAAATGGACCTCTACTAAGAGCATTACAACTTCTATGAAACATGTTATTGAGTAATATTAGTGTACGCTGGCATTCCTTCTTAAAGATCTTTTCCACTTTTAACCGTATTATGCAACTGTCCTTTCCACTTTTATATAATGAACTATGTTTTCTTAAGGATCTTTATTAGAAAAAGCACTTACACTAATTTTGGTGGTTTCTTGTATTGTTTCATAATGCCCTACTTGGGATCCTCAATTCAGTTGCTCTTGAGTTTGAATTGTTCGTGTGATAACTATTTGGTGCTTTCTGTTGGAAAAGGCACACTTGGAGTTTAAATGGTTTTCCAGTTGGGTACAATGAGAGTTTGGGAGGTATTCTATTTTTGTCATGTACTTCTGTCCAAATATTGGCCAATTTTCTGATTGGTACTTTCATTTGGTATGTGTCTCTGTAGCACGGATCCCCCCTATGGGGTGTCGGCTTCGAGGGCTGGACACATGTCCGACACTCCCTTGGAGACTTGGAGTGTGGTTTTATTTTTTATTTTTCATAGTCAATACTCACACACACATGCCTCTATGGAGGCTTGAACCCTTAACCTCCCTTTGGGAAGTAAGGGCCTGATACCGTTAGGCCACTGGTCCGTTGGTAGTATGGTTTTATTTGTTTATTTATTTTTGGTTGGACACGGTTTGGACATGGCAGGGATACGGTAATGATGTCTAGAACATGTTTGGGACACGGTGGGGTACTTTTTGCAATTATTCTTTTTAAAATACAGGGCTTCAAATTTAATTTTTAAACGTGTCATGGGTCAATACAAAAACAACATATTCATGGCTGGAAAGAAATTACAGTGAAATGGAGAGTAATTTGTTGATTCACAAACAAATGAAAAAATGAAAAGAAATTACACACACACATGAAATTATGCTATTTGTACCGTATCTTTATTTTTCTCCCCATAATGTTATACGAGTCCGCTACGATTTTTTAAAGGTTCACATCTGACTTTTCAAATTAGTGATTACATTCATGGTTAGTGGATAAAATGAGAGAAAATATATATATTTTAATGTATAATAATATATTTATTATTATTTTATTACCATATCCCTGTCGTTTTTCGTGTCTTATTTTTTTGATCCATATGTACATGTTATATATACCTTGTCAGTCTCCCACAAACTAATTCTTAGCTAAGCTAGCCCAATAATAGTCAACAAATTACAAGAAAAATATTTATTGTTCTAGCATGTGCATATTATGTTTACCAATATTTCCAAGTGCTGGTTTATAAACATTTAATTTTTTGGCTCGCGGTGACTATGAAGCGATGGCAACGATGACTTTTTATTTTTATTTTTAACGTTGTAGTAACCCTTATAAGTAGGCTAGCTTATGCTTTTAATTTTTTGTTTGAAATTACTGTGAATTGTTTTATTTACTTATTCTTTATGCTACTCTCATCAAATTTATCATAATCTTTTTTGTTCCCAGATGTTCCATCTGATGCCAGCACAGGGTAGCTTTTATGTGTTCAATGACATATTCCGGTTGAACTATGCATGAAGACAATGAATAGCTCAAAACAGAGGGCGGATAATACTCGCCTGAATTCCCCTCACTTGTGTTAAAGTTCCAGACATTTATAGTGAGATTGATGATATATTTTTTTCCTCTTTCTTTTGAATTGGTTATGTTAAGGGATTGCTGCTTGTGGTTGGATGATCTTTGAAAGATGCTCTCTCATATCCGTTTTGGTTCTTTTATAAATGGATTGGTTGCGGGATATTTTAAGACTTGAGTTAATGACTTTGACCAAAATTTCAAAGCTGCATATTTGTTTAGTGAATTGAGAACAATTTTACCTTAATGCTATGTTTGGAAGCACCGGATTGGCGGCCTGGATTCAAGATTGAAAAAATTACTTCTATGTAGTTGTGAGGCACTGAGATCTGCCTATGGCCCTCTACGTGATGTTACGAACCATGCAGGTTGGATGTGTAGCTCTCACTCTCACACATTGCTTTTCGTACTCTGTATTTTATTATTTTGGTCTTCAGATTTAAAGTTGATACACGGGATTAGTAATGTCGTGTCTTATAGAGTATAACATGTCCCTTAAAAGTGAAATTGTGGTATACATGTTGTACTTCATTGCAAATGATGACATTTGCGGTCTTATAATGTTTTTCAGTGTTATAATTTGCATATTTGGGGGTTGAGATTTAGAGAGAGATTTATTGAGTTTGCATTCTCTATTTTATTTGTGTCCACTTGAAACATGTTCAATGCCAAGAGTTGTTTTTAAAAACAATTATTGTTAAAACTTTGACCAATGATTTATATAGCCTAGAAAATGTCAACGCCAATGTGTAAAGCTTGCATATTCGTTTTTGAAAAGCAGAATGGATGGAAGGCTTGAAGGTAGGGAGAATAAACCAGATATGTATATATATTTATCATTATTAAGTTTTTATTTTCCTGACTATTAATGCATGTAATCAATATATCATTCCACACAATCTATTTGGGATAGAAATAGAGGTGAGAGAGATCTACCAATCCTGTCAGTAAGCATTTTACAGAAATTACAAGGTATATACAATATCTATGTACGCCAACTTGAGGATCATAAATGATCATCATTTGCAGAAACTCTAAAATAAAAAAACGAATTTACGGGAAAAAGAAACCAAAACGAAAATACACATATAATCCAAACCCAACTACTAGCTCATGTTAAATTTGGTATACCGAAGGAACAGTAGAAAGGATGATTAGAGGTTTCATCTATTGCGGCTGCCATATATCATCATTTTCCATATTGCAAACATCACCTTGAACAGATGACCCTACTTCACTTCCAGCACCTTCACGTTCAGCCTGCAGAGGTAATGTAAGTAGGTTAATGAAAGTTGTTTAGTCACATACTTAACGTTAGGGATGAATCTTTTTTGTGAGAGTAGATGATATAAAGACAATGGAGCCAAAGACAAAAATGACGAATGTCTATACTCCAAGAAAATCAACTCAGCCATAATTTCTTCATAATGTTTATGGGTCAAATGGAGCTAAAAATTTACTGTCATTTACATGTACCGGGTGGTAGACTCTTTATAACGTGATAAATCGTCCATAAAATTTTGGACCCCATAGGAAACACAATCTCCACCCCAATTAAGACAAACACGCATCTGCTAGGGAAACCAAAACCACATGAGTGAACTTGGTTTCGTGGACACAGACACATGACACAATTCCAATATGATACAGTAAAAAATTAAGCAAATTCTTCAAAAATAAAGACAAAGAGAACATTTACTAAAATGCCTCAATGAAGTAATTGCAATGTGGGAGCTGCATGTCCAAAACTGAAAAATATAATTCAAAATCACGGACCTATGAGGATCATGTAAATTACATGTTGAGTATGCATCGCATCTGATGAGTGTCAACACAAACATAAGTCCTCTGAAAAATGTAAGCTGTTTAAAGAAACGATTTTTTAAGTGGTCGCCAAATCAGATGGCCCATGCTATAGGCTTAACACCACATGCATACTTGAGAGAACAAATAGGTGCAAAATGAGCCAACCAAACTGCATCACTTAACTAAAGCTACATAAATGCAAAATGAACTATCTGAATTAGTTTGATTCAATTATCTGTTTTTAGATTTTAAGAAAACTGAGAAATGTCCAGGGAACCATAAGAAGATTGCCTTCTAAAGTCTAGCATCATTTTTTTTTTCTCATTTTTCGAAAAAATGAACCAAGCAGGCCCTGACTTACTTTCTAGTATACCTAAAAAGTATTATGCATAAATCCCTATATGAAGCACTCCAACCAGGGCAGGTTTAATGCTTATCACCCGTGGTTGACAAGAGGAATTATTTACACACCTTCAATTTGTAAAATGGCACTGATATTTAGGCAAAAACTCCTAGGCTGAGATTAAAAATTCACATTTTCAACTTGTTCAGACAACGTAAACGTCACTTGCGTTTATTATCAAATTAAAGCTATGAGGCTCACCTTAGCTTGGCGGTATCTTTCTAGCATGCGACGATATTGCTGCCGTGCCTCTGGAATTTCAACCATGGAGAGCACCCTTGAGACAGCCTCATCAATAGCTACCTTCACTTTCTCCTTGCGGAACACCTTGACAATGTCTTCATCTTCACTTTCATTAATGGACTCTGACTCGGGCCGAAATCCCCGCAAACCAACTCCCCTACGTCGCCACCTTAGTACAACCTTTTCTAGAACACCAACAGCCCAACAGATTACCTTATAATTCTTCCTTACCTGGTGACCTCTCACATGAGCCTGAAAAACAAGAAATTGCATCAGAGCGGTACTATGTTCAATACCCCTTGCACTTTTAATAATTGGCATAGTTTTAGTGATTTTCACACGGTATTTATGTCTTGTGCACTTCCAATTGTAAGTTCCACCATGTTGGCAAGAGAGAGAGAGAGAGAGAGAGAGAGAGAGAGGGAGGGAGGGAGGGAGAGAGATCTGCTGTATTACAATTTGGTTCCTTCATTGCACTAATAGATACATGAGATGTGTATTTATGTGAATGCTCTGATATTATGAATTGTGCCAAATTCAATATTATATTTCAAAAGAACTGGGAATTTTCGCAGAAATTTATAGGGTCATTACCATCGTTCACATACACGGACGCTGTGTAACGGATGGTGGGCTATAATGGGCATAACGTAACGGAAACAAGTACCGCGGTTGTGAACTTTTTTAACCTCGCACATGGGCGCCGTTGACAGTGTGAAGACTTGATACTTTAGACATTTTACTAGATTAATGAACAATAGAAATGTGTTGTTTGACATATATATATATATATATATATATATATATATTACTATATGTCTGTAATTGTATAATAGTGGAACAAAATTTTTTTTTCCCGGAAGGAAAATGTAATATGGAACAATTTCCCAAACACTGCACATACTTTCTAACCACATAAAGATAACTCCACCATGGTTAATATGGATACAAGCAGTTTTTTTTGGTGATTTTGGGTTTCGCTAAAAGCTCATCTGTGTGTGTGTGTGTGTGAAACCAGCCCTTATCTCTCTCTCAAACCAGCAGTACTCTCTCTACAATCAGCGCTCATCTCTCTCTCTCTCACACAGACACATATAAGTTCCTAGAAAACTTCTTTTAAAAATGGCAGAAAGGGAAGGGGAATTGCAGAGCTGAAGATGATAAAGGAAGGGCCCGCTGGGGTTTGTTAATCTTCCTACATCTGCAATTATTTTTTCAACAGTATTTTGGTATATGTATAAATATTCAAAACCATTGTGTGGCTCCCAAAAAAATTAGAGAACTGAGATAGAGAAGCATGGAACCTGTATCTTCACTACTTTCTGACGAAATGCTAGGAAATCCTTCCGACCTTTCCAACCTCTATATTTCTTCTGAATAGACAGAGCAGCAGTGTTGTAATCACGAGCATTGCGGAATGCCAATTTTGATACAGCTGAAAGCTCATGAATCTCATTTGAAAGTATACTGTACTCATCTACACCAGAGGCAGTATCAACAACTTCTCTGTGTTGCCTTCTCCTGAAAGAATGTGCACGAAAAGCAGATTGTATACGTGCAGCTGCCTGAGCTGCATTCCGGACTGCAGCTAAGGTTTGCTTCAGAGAAATCTGATCCTCACTTGCATGCAAGCTCCTGTTCGAGATACTATCTACAGTTATTTCTGCTTCCAAATCAGCAGAATCTTTTGACAGCTCACATTCTTCAATTGTGAGGGATGTAAGATGGCTAGTTAGTGCCACCTCTGAAAGATAACCTGCAAGTCCCTTGTGTCCACTTGCTGCAGCAATGGATGCTGCCGTCTTACCTATTGGATCTTGTGAATTGGGATCTGTCACTGCCCCAGCTGATGCACCAGATGCTATGAGGGCAGCAACCATCTTTTCCCTGTTACAGAAAGAGCATAAAACACAAATATGGTTATCGTCATTTTATCAAAATCATGGTGTACAAGTAAATAAGTTAGGAAGGAATAGAAGACAAACCAGTTCCTACTACCTGTGCGTAACATGAGGAAAAACCTTACTAATGCTCCATTTGGTAGGATGGATGGAAGAAGAGGGATGGATGGGGCAATCCTTGGGAAGGGAGAGCATCCATCCCTCCTTTTGTTTGGTTGGTGAAAAGAAGGAAATAATTTTTTTTGTCATTTTACCATTAGGCCCTTTGATATATAAATTGATACATTGAGATGAGGTTAATAATGTCATTTTAATTTTATTTATCAAATACCATTTTTTTCTCTCTCCTCTTCCACCAACTTTTGGATGGAACAAAATGGTGGGCCCAGAGGGATGCCTCATCCCTCCTCCCAGAATTCTACTCTTCCTCTCTCTCTACCAAACAACGGAAGCTTGCTCCATTCCTCCTCTTTCCTCCCCGTTCCTTCCCTCCTCCAATATGTAGGCTGAAGAATTGAGGAAGTTAATTAATATACCCATTTAGCATTTAACATCAAGTACAGAGAATGCTTGCAAGCTAAGAACTTCAGGAAAATTGAATACTAAAGACATCGCAAATCCTACATCAAGCTAAATTTCCATCAAACATGAGTTTTTTCAAATGCCTTCTTTGCTTTCTTTCAGTCCAATGATACTACATTCTTTCCTTTAGTCTTCATCCTCATTTACCATCTTCTCAGCTATTTTTGCTCTATAACAGGAAATTTCCAGCCACAATCATTGAACCTAGGCAGTTGTATCTCTTTTTGTCCCACGACCATTAAATAAGAAAGAACAAAAAAACAAATGAAAAGGAAATTCAAAAGGTAGAGCATTTCACATTTTGCTCTTAGGTTACTAAATGCCCCCTTAGGTAGTTCTATGGGATTAGAATCTGAGACGTAGGATCATATTACCTTTTCTCCTAGTGGATTTGATCTGCCTGGTCATGGTCCTGTGGATTTTACTCTATTGGGATTTCCAAGAAAGTCTTTGTGTTTTTGTATGGATGCACTTATCTAAATTTTCTGGTATTTAACTGCTTATTTGCATTTTTCAATTTTTATATTTGTCATTTTAAATTTTGAAAGACCTATTCACTTCACGTATCTAGGTTGCTGGTCATTCACTTCACTTACATTGCAATCTGTGGATGTTACGACAAATGAGAGAGAGAGAGAGAGAGAGAGAGTGAGTTTAGAATTTATAACAAAGTAAGACAAACCTATGACCCTACTTAAAACAGTGTAGTTTCTGAATTTAACAACAAAAAATGATAACACCCACATTACTCTAAAAAGCTCCAGCAAACCGAACAGAATGCTGCATTATGTTCCAGTTAATTGCTCTACTGTTACAGCACATGACCAGTTTAGCTAAAGAAACCCAGCTTGATAATTGATGGTCGCAGATAACCATTTTTATTTCAGAGACAGTAGCAAATATGATAGAAAGCAAACAAAGTCAAATGATAAACAGAGGGAGCAAGTTTATCTGACTGGATACCTCCTTGTTTTTAACTGGTTTGTGATTAGACACCAAGGTCTTCAAGTCAACCAAAACCCAAATTATAATCACTCACGTATTGTTGAGATATAGAGCAGTTAACTATGCGTGGAAAGAAAACACCAACTACAATATGTTATCCACTGTTTCTCTAATTGTAAAAGAAAGTCTCTTCTTTTCCCATCTCTCATAGTCCACTAACCTAATTTTTGAGCATGATTAGTACTTATATTAACTGATCTACGTCCTCAAATCTTGAAAGAAAGTATATGCTACCATAATTCAGTGCCGAGTAAAGCTTAATTGTAGATTAGCATGTATTCGTATCAACTATATTAGTTGGCTTTAACGCTCTGAAAGGCAACCAGTAAGCTAAGACCCTTTCTTTCTTACGAATCTTATACCCTAACTTCCATATAAAAGTAAGTACGCCAAGACCACTGGAAGGGAGTCAATTCAATCTATCTTGTACTTCCAACATTCTAATGAATACTATAAACTACTCATCTTCTTGCCAAATTAGGCCTTTTTCTTTGGGCCAAGTCCTGTTCGAACATCAACAAGGGCACAACGTCATTCCCACTCTTTGTGCGGAAATCCATTTGAGAGTATTTGTGGAATCAATTCAATTCCAGAACATTCCAAATTTGCAGGTTTTTATGCATTTCACATTCTTGATTTTATGCATCCCAATAAGAATGTAATGGTGTCTTATTGCTCTGTGACTTACGCCAAGTCATCCTGTAAACATTTCAAGAAAAAGAAACCAGAAGTTCCATTACCTTCCAAAACGGGCAGCCCAATGAAGGGCGGTCCAGCCATTGATGTCACGGAAATTTATGCTGACTCCAGAATTGAGAATTGGGTTTAAGGCCCACTCAAAGCCCCATCCAGCAATCATGTGGATTATCCCTTGCTCTTTCTTGGACAATGGACAATCTGGCTGTTCTTGCCCTTCTGATCTAGAAGAAAGCCACTGCTGCAACTTGTCTTTTAGAAGTTCTTGCAGAAGCCAATCTGTTGTGTCAGACCAAGTCCAGCTGCCAACTAAAAGAGCCTCAATTACGTGGCCCCACAAATCTTCACCAGCTCTGGATTTGCCCAATAGATCAATTCCTGATTCACTACTGTCTCCTTTCTGCATCATTGGATCAGATAAAAGTATTTGCACAAATCTGACGAGTAATAACAGTTCCTCTGGACTCTTAGTTGCCTCTGTTTGTGGTAAACTACAGTGCGCACAACTAGTTGGTTTAACACGGAACTCAAACTCTCGGACCTCACTGCAAGACTCCCGGTTTCCAGAAGTAATGCAAAGAGTGACTTTTCCAGGAACGTGAACAGGAGCCTGGCAGCATATGACACCTTCCTGAATGATCTGGAGAGGAACTTCAATGTCACCAAACATGCAAGTCCAGGAACATTCTGATGGATCACAGAGAAAAGATCCAATAATGAAGACCTGCATCAAGTAAGTTTAAACTTTGAACTAGTACCTCCAAAAATAAAATCCACTTCAGAAAAAGATAAGAAAAAAAAAAAAAAGAAGAGATAAAAGCACTTACTACATCATACTAACGACAGCCCTATGAGCTGTTGGTGTAATCAAATTTATACCAAGCCCAAAAATTGAGGTAATGGACCATCTCCACATGGATTGAGGAACAAAATCCATGTTAATAATAAAATCAGTTCACATGCTCAAATTCAGAAAGTTCTTTTTACCTTATCATATTAAAAGTTACAACTGGCAAGAAGGTTTGTGAATGGTGAATACGGACACTAAATCCAGTCATCAGGTGATAGACCATTATCAAATCCAGATTGAAAGGTTTATACGTGCACGTGTGTGGGTGTGCATGTACAAACATGAGCATGCCCTTCTGGAAGCATCCGCAAAAAGCGTCTTTTGGGTAAATTTTCAGTGAATCTCAAGACTTGTCTGATACAAGTAACTGTAAATCTTTTTCAACACCAAGCTATTTCACTTTTAAAGTTCTTTTTCATCATAGTGAAACTATTTTATTTCGTGACGTTATGGCTCACACCATGATATCGGCAGGATTTTATAATTGACAATTCACTAAGTTTTACGAGGAAGAAAGATTATACTCCTATGGATAGGCAACTCAATAAAAACTGATAAGACGAAATAGTGAGATGAGAGACAGAGATTGATAATGACAAAAATTTGGTGAAGTTGTGAAACTAACACAAGACACTCCAGAGGAGGTTTTCCCACCATGAAACTAACCCATGAAGTTTTCACAAGAAACTCAAGCTTATTTTGGTAGATATGATCTCTTATTTGGAACAATATATGGTTATTACACTAGAGGACTTGGACACTTAAAATTCCTTTTCATGTTCAAGTTTCGGAAATGTCCACCACCAAACACTAAAAAGCTCTTTTAACTTTCATCTGTGGATGCAAACCTTCTTTGGTTGAACCATGTATTTCTGACTTGCCACATGTTTTTTCTTTCTGCAACTTTATTAGTTTATCTTTTGCCTTTTTCACTCAAGCCTGACATGGTGCTGTGTCAAGTTAATCAATAAATTTATACTTTAGATATTATAACCTTTTAACACTTTTTTAACATACTATTTAAGCACTAAATTCTATTTCAGAAGCCATAATGGCTACATCCGTTATTTAGGAAGAAAAAAAAAAGGTGAACATTTTCGTTATTTAGGCTCAATTATCCATAATGAAGGAGAAATTGGAGATGATGTGAATAATAGAATCATGACTTGATGGGTTAAATGGAGGAGTGCATCTAGTATATTGTGTGATCGGCGTATCCCATTAAAATTGAAAGGGAAGTTCTATTGAACAAGAATTAGACCAACTGTACCTTATTGACCAGGATGTTAAGCAACTGGGAAACATGTGTATAAAGTGTGTGGCACAAATGCAAATGTTGAGATGGATGTGCAGTAAGACAAAGAAAGAATAGAATTAGAAATGATCGCATTCGTGAGATGGTGGAAGTAGCATCAATTGGAGATAAAATGTGAAAAAAATTGGTTTCGATGGTTTGGATATGTGCACAAAATACCTTTAAGTGTGCTAGTTAGGAAGAGTGACATGGTCTACATTGGGGGTAATACTAGGGGAAAGGGGTAGACCAAAAGTAATGTGGGTAGAATTAGTAAGGAACTATACGATAATATGTGGTTTGGCTGAGGCAAGGCCTTAGATAGAGCTAAATGGAAAAATAGGATTCATCTAGTCGACCCTAGGACAACCCCCTCTCACAATTTGGGAAACACGTGCATGAGGAAAGGGGTTGTGATTGCAGCCTTTGGGGATGTGGAAATAGCAACCCTCTTTGCCAATTTAGAACTTTGGTTTCATTTAAAATAATAAAAAAAAAATGAAATAAAATAAAAAAACAGATTTATGTCTAAACCATAACTTTAATGATAAGAAAGGAAGTTGACGGAATTAATATAAAAAAGGATAATCTGAAGTATTAGAAGGGAAAATCACAAAGGCAAGAAAGCATGCACTTAAGGTGTACGGGGAATCATAAAGCCCTGTGTGATGCATTATTGATCATATAATAGTGAATTATTAAGAAAAAGGATAAAAAAATAACTTGACAATCATTAGATAGAAAATTACTTCAGACGCATCAGCAAAGCAGCAGCCCATTTTAAAAATATTCTAGAGCATTGAATCAGTATATTAATCAAATATCAACCCCCTCCCCCACCCCTTCCCACCCCCCCCCCCCCCCCCCCCCCAAAAAAAAAAAAAAAATTCAGTAAGCAACAGAATCAACATTCAATCATCTGCAGAACTCATAAGCCATCACTGAGATTCTACAAAAATATTACCATCACAAAGGAATCAACATAAATGTATCTTTAATAAAATAAACTAATGAACATAAAATTTCATAGCACAAACCTTCGTAACCTCAGAGGCATAACCCCAATCTGGGGACATTTCTCGAATTGCAAATTTCTGTGTTTGTGCAATGGTTAAACTTGAATCTGCTTCAAGAGACATTCCAATCTGACCATGGCCAAACAATGTTGCATAATAGTTGGAGTTGCTTTCATGAGTAAATACTGGAGTATGTCCAGGAAAGTTGAGACTTTCAACTCCTTGAGGCGGCAACAGAGCTGTAATTCAAGAGGGCTGTAAGATTTTGATAGAAATTTGCCAGAATCTGAAAGTTGCAGTTTTGAATTGCTCATTGATTTTTACACACACACACACATATAAAATGATAGTTGCATATTTAAATTGCTGTCAGGAATAGGTAAGTCATTACACTTTTGAGCACCAGTTCCGCCAAAATTCACCCATTGAGAATGTTCCAGCTCTTCTACTGGTTCTGCTCTTGATGGAGGTACTAGCATTCCCTATTGTCAATATGAAGGTGTTACCGTTGCAGAAGAAACACTAAGATTCACCTTAGATGAACAAAAAGATGGAAGGATTTTGGAAAAGGATTATCTAATTAATAAATTTTAGGGTTAGTTGCAAAAAAAAAAAAATCTAGTATACAAGCTTTGGCAATTTACCCCCTTGAACTAAAGATGCATATCACCACCTTCAATTATCAACAATGATTGATACTGTCTTCCAGAGGCGGGTATCTTACAAAATTTTCAATAGTTGCGGGGGCAAATTTCAATCCAGGGTAAGCTTGCAAAACTTGTACAATACATGGTGTTTTTTTTTTATAAAAGTAACCCTAAATTTTATAGAAGTTGGTTGTGTGTGCACTGTGCTTGTGAATGTTTCCCTATGCATGATGATTTTATTTGCCGATCACAACTAAGCCACAATCTGATTATAGGTGTAATGTTGCAGAAGAACCATAAAATATTTTGAGAAGAAAAGATAGTCTAGAAGTGTAATTCAAGAGGATTATATAAAAGTGCACACAGATATATAATATAACATAATGTTCTTCTCACATTTCTGTCCAATGTGTAGAAAGGTTTCTCTTGGAGTTCGGACTCTATATCAGGCGAATTCTTACATAAATCTAGCATGTCTTCCCAATATAAAGGTTCTTTACTCTCAATTGCAAAATTATGCCCCAAAGGATCATGGTAATGCACCCCATCATCACCTACAAAAGTAACACCTCAATTAGAATAGTTGCTCCATTTCATGTTTATATACTATTTATAAAGAAAAGGAAAAAAAATAAATGGAAAACTATAAAAAGAAAACTAAGAGTGCAATGCTTGTGTACTAGGCAAAGTAACCCAAATTAGCCCATAAACTATGACAACATAAAAATGGAAAGAAAGAAAAATAATAATAATAATAATATACAAGACAAGAAGATCAAGGCGGCTACTTGGAAGGAAAGGAAAGTATCAGCAAGCTGATCCTACCCAAAACCTTAGAAAATGTGAACTAAACAATCACATACGCATATAAGTGCGTGTCTGAGTTGCTTTTAAAACAAATATGAAAGGCACGATAGCTTGACAAAAGGAAAAAAATAAATAGGAAATAATAATATACAAGACAAGAAAATCAAGGCTACTTGGAAGGAATGGAAAGTATCAGTGAGCTGATCTGACCCAAAACCTTAGAAAATGTGAACCAACCAATCACATATCTATACTATTATTAAAAGTACAAAGTGTTTCAAATCATTTACCTATATAACTTATTTATTTAATTCAATAAAAGGAAATCTAATTAGAGAAGGAAATACTAATAATAATAATATAGTATTAGGAAATAATGAAATTCAATAAATGAAAATCTAATTAAAGAATGAAATATATAATATTAAAAAATTAACCAACTGAAAATCAATAAAAATAAATCTAATTAGAGAAGCATACACTAATAATAATAAAAAACTTTTTTATTTATTTTAATAAAATGAAATCCAATTAGAGAAGGAAATATTAATAATATAGTAGTAGGAAATACTGAAATTCAATAAATGGAAATATAATTAGAGAATGAAATATATAATACTAAACAACTTATTTAATAATATAGTAGTAGGACATACTACTAAATCTAATTAGATAAGAAAATATATATAATGAAAAAACTAAAATACTGAATTTCAATAAAAGGAAATCTAATTAGAGAACAAAATATATAATATTAAAAAACTTATTTATTTAATTCAATAAAAGAAAATCTACTTAGAGGAGAAATACTAATAATAAAAACAATAAAAGGAAATCCAATTAGAGAATGATATATATAATTTATTTCAATAAATACATAACAACAATTCTATATCAAAATATATCAATATTGAATTTCAGTATTTCAGTACATTAATTTATTTAATAATATAGTAGTAGGAAATATTGAAATTCAATAAAATATAATCTAATTAGAGAAGTAAATATATTATATTAAAAAATTAAACTACTAAAATTCAATAAAAGGAAATCTATAATATTAAAAAAAAAAAACTTATTTATTTAATTCAATAAAAGGAAATTTTATTAGAGAATGAAAAACTAATAATAAAAATAATAATAATATAGTAGTAGAAAATACTAATAATAATACAGTAGTAGGAAATCTAATTAGAGAATGAAATATATAATATTTAGAAACTGAATTACTAAAATTCAATAAAAGGAAATCTAATTAGAAAAGGAAATATATAATATTAAAAAATTAGATATTTAATTCAATAAAAGGAGATCAAATTAGAGGAGAAATACTAATACTACTACTACTAATAATATATTAGTAAAAAATACTGAAATTCAATAAAAGGAAATCTAAGTAGAGAATAAAATATAAAATTTATTTCAATAAATACATAACAACAATTCTAAATCAAAATATACCAATAAAATCCTAAACTATGAATTCTATATAAAAACAATTATTTTTATAATTTATTTTAAAATTTTAGAATGTTAGTTATTTCAATAATATTATTTATTATATATATATATATATATTTTATCCTTTACAAATTTTTTACTTTACATTTATACCCACACTTTAGCTCATGGGCATCGCACGTGTTTACTAGTACATACAAGTGTGAGTCTGAGTCACTTTTAAAACAAATATGAAAGGCACAACAGCTTAACTGCAGTCTTTTCTTGATTCATTTATGGTGATTTGCTAGCCTTCCATGAATAGTTAATGTTGATATAACTATTCAAGTTACATCCTCTTAATGGTTTAAGAGTTTAGAGTTGATGGTTGTTAACATGATATCAGCGCCAAAGGTCTCAAGTTCAAAGCTCACCGTCGGTGACTAAAAATTGACAATAGGCGTTGGACCAAAAAGAAGGCCACATGCGAGAGGGCGTGTTAAAAGAGATAAATATTAAAGTTACACCATCTCTAACAGCTTAAACTTTTAGAGTAGATGGTTGTTAACAGTTAACACATAGAATAAGAAAGTATCTAGCACTCCTCGATTACATATTCGACTAGGGGTAGGAAAGAAAGGAAAGCCTCTATTTTTCTACATCCTTATCTATAAATCCTAGAAAATTTGCGACCAGTCTACATGTCCGCTTGGTGACAGATTTATTCTACAATAGAACAGTAGTGACTTAGAACTCCAGAAAGTTCTCTGATTGTGCATCTTTATCTTCAAACGCTTCATAAATAATTCTACAATAGAATTCGGCAGTGACTTGGAAGCTATACTGCCTGGACTCAAGTGTCGGTGTGTGTAACAACCCACTCCACCACATGGTATGATATTGTCCGTTTTGGACCAAAGCCTGCACAATTTTGTTCTTGAATTTTACTCCAAAAAAACGTCATACCAATTGGAATGTACCAATCCTACATATATAGCCCTTCCCTTTTCCACAACCAAGCGATGTGGGATTATGCACCCATAGCTTGCCAGCATACTAAAGTCTCGCACCCGCCCACAAGGTCACCACAATCACCCCCCCCCCCAAAAGGGACCCAACGTCCTCGTTGGCCACACTTCCAGCTGGGTCAGGCTTTGATACTATTTGTAACGGCTCACTCCACCACATGGTATGATATTGTCCGCTTTGGACCCAAGCCTACACAGTTTTGTTCTTGGGTTCTACCCCAAAAGGCCTCGTACCATTTGAAGTGTACTTATCCTACATATATAACACTTCCCCATTGTGGCGAGCTTTTTTCTTTTTTTTTTTATAAGTAAAAAATTTATAAAAGGCACTCAAAAGGGGAGCGAATCCCAAAGAAACACACAAGGCCAAAAAACGCCTCAAGCCTTCAAAGAGGCCAAAAAAACAACAATCTCCTCTACAGATCTATAATCTCTCCCTGAAACCCAACAAAAAAAAAGTGAAAATAATAGAGAACTTAAGCATAGAAACAGGCTTCTCTTTTCCGTCGAAATATCTCCGATTTCTCTCGAGCCAAATGCACCACCGAATACAAAAAGACGTAGCCCTCCAAGCATCTCGAATGAGAGCCACCCACTGAAAAACCTCTCTAAGCCTCAATCAACTCTCTAGAGGATCTAAGCATGACCCAGGGAATCCCAAATAACCCAAACATCAAATCCCAACAGTCCCTAGCCATACTACAATGTAAAAGAAAGTGATGCATTGTCTCCTCATCACGCAGGCACAAGTAACAATGATTAACCACCACCTGATTCCTCCACCTCAAATTATCCTGGTTCAAATCCTACCCAAGACAGATGTCCAAACAAAGAAGGCCACCTTGAGTGGAGCCTCGAAGCGCCGAACAGACTTCCAAGGGAAAGGGCCTCCAGAACCAACCGTAAGACACTTGAAGAAGGACCGAACCTCGAAACAACCCTGAGAGTTAGGATCCCAAAGCCAATAATCAGAATCCCCAACCACAATCACCTGACGATATAACAACTCCAAAAAACGAGTGATCTCCTCAATCTCCCAGTCCTGAAAGTAACTCCTAAACTGGAACATCCATTGTGGAGACCTGGGTTGGAGACCTGGGTTGGGGGGGGGGGGGGGGGGGGAGGTTCTACCAGTGCACAATCTCACATCGTTTGGTTGTGCATAGGGGAAGTGTTATAAATGTAGGATTGGTACACTCTAGGGGTGGCAAAATGGTTCCTAACCCGCTTATATCCGCCCATGTTTTAATGGATATGGGTGAACCATATTAAAATACGAGTTAAACACCCATATTTATAAAGGGTTACACGGGTTGGATATGGGTACCCATATTTCACTCATTAAATAAGAGACCTAGACAAAGAAAAAAAAAAATAAAACCTCATCCTCTCCCTATAAAATTTTCTCCGGATCATTATGCCCCCCCCCCCCCCCCCTTTTCTCTCTCTCTCTCTCTCTAAGATTCCCTCTTTGGTTCTCTCACATCCCCCTCTCTCTAAAATTCTCTCTTCATCTCTCACACATCCCTCTCTCTCTAAAAAAATCTCTAAGATTCATTATGCCTCATCCTCTCTCTCTAAATGGGTTGGTTCTTCTGGGTTTGTATACAACGATGGACGTATAACATTTCTTAGTTTAATATGAATTGATAAAGCATAAATCTTTTCACATGGATCCGAAAAATAGGAAATATATAAAATAGAAATATTCGAAAATTGATCACATATAAATCTATAAGAAAATATATATCTTACCACAGTAAACTAACTTCGGCGGGTCCCAAAAAAAAGTGTCACATCTTTGTATCCAAGGCCTTATTAATTCAATTTTGTACAATAGAACTCCTTATGATTAGACAAACAACAATATTACTTTTAATTTAAAATATGTTAACAAAATCAAACATTTGTTGAACTTTATAAAAGGTCATGGCCAATGGCATGCAGAGAGTTAACTGATGCTCTTTCTTTCCAATATAGAATAGAACAGAAAAGCCTCAACAGATCTCTCTCTCTCTCTCTAAAATACCCATAGGTCTCTCTCTATATATTATATTTTTTTAAAAAGTAGTCATTCCGTATATAAGAGCCAGATTATTATGAAAGAGAGAAACAGTGAGCCGTTCAATTTCAGAAAATGGGTCAGGTTGCATTAGATGGGTCATGTTATAGTAACAGATCAATTTTCTAACCGGGTCAGTCTTTATAAATGGGTAAGCCCGTGCCAACTTGGATATATCGCTTTGAAGAAAAGTTCCTATGATTAAAAAAAGTTCAAAATCGTGTTGTGCAAAACGGGCCGGGTTTCATGAAACAGACAACCCATACTAATTTGACTTAAATTTCATAAAACTGTATAAAATTTAAAGATTTTTTAACAAAAGATTGTAGAATATATATGGATCAAGTGGATTTGTCAACCTATTGACCCTCTCAACCCACTTGTATGGTAGTTTTTTTTTTCAAATTTTTTAATAAATAAAGATGAAATTAGACTAAAAAATAGTAAGAATGTTTTTTTTTCAAAAAAATGAAAAATAAAGAAAGACAGGAAAATGGGTCATTGGATTTTTACGGGTTGACCCAAGCCATATTTGGCCCGGCCCGGCCCGACCCGACCGTTTGCTACCCCTAGTACACTCCAAATGGTATGAGGCATTTTGGGATAAAACCCAAGAACAAAGCCATGCAAGCTCGGGCCCAAAGCGGACAATATCATACTATGCAATGGAGTGTGTGTCAGTGTCTCGAATGCATCAAATCTCCAAATAGAAGGATAAAGTAACATTGCTAAATATTCATATTACTTAATTTTTTTATTTTATTTTTTAGAGTAAAATAACATTTCTATGTAAAATTGTGCTCAAAATAAACATTTAACTCATTTTGAACCAATAATCTAATAAATTGAATCAGTAGATATACTTTTAGGGATATACTTTTAGGTACATGTCCAACTGGTTGGCATGGGACGCCTATCCCATACTGTTGTCTAGGTATCGTATGTCTAACACGGGTATTTCACGTACTATTGAAGAGTTCATGTAAAATAGCTTGCAAGGTATGCGCTAATGTGGATTGGCTTTCCAGGAAAACAAAGCAATTTATTTTTTTCTGATAAGTAAAACAAAGCAATTATAACACATCCAAATAGAATGATGTAGAACTGTCGATGCAAATGAAAACAGATTAAACCAGCTGATGATGCTAAGAATCCATACTATTAAGTCTAGAACATATAACATCCTATCAGATCCACCAACTAAGATCATTGATATCAAACAGGAAATGTGAATATGAGTCGGATAAATTATTGAAAAGAATAGAAAGCCTACATGATTAGCATGAAGTATTGGCAAAACGAGACAAATCAAAACATAAGACTGGATTTTGACGAATCTGAACAAAAACAAATAGCACAAACCTGCATCTCTTTGTAGCACAAAATTGTTTGCATCATCTTCTATCCCAGCGGATGCACTATAACTCTGATCATGCATAAAATATTTTAAATCATTTGAAGTCTCATTCTCACTATAGAGTGGAGCGATTTCTTCCAAGCTTTCATCATTTAAACTTAGCTGCTCCTCAAGTCGTCGTAATGCTTGGCTAACCTCAAGCTCAGATGAACTACTATTATCACCTTTTGTTTCTATCCCGTCCAACTGATCCATCCCATTACTCTTGATGACTATGTCAGAACTAACTTCTACAGATCCTGGACTAGATAGAGTCTGATATGGTTCGCATAATTCACTAATCACAGCTTTAGAGCCTGGATGTTGAGCAGTGTAAGAGCTGGGACTCTGACTGAAAGAAGCAGGGGACCCTGGTGACAAACGTGAAAATCCAGAATTTTGCCTTCCCTGCAACTCATGAATGCAAATGGTGATGTCAAATTGAAGTTCAAGTTATGGATCACTAGCAATTACTGAAAATGCTCTCAAAACAATCATGCAAAGAAGAAGACATATTTCTTTGATAGAAGAATTACATCTAGGTTTTTGGTCAAATTTGACCAGGTGCTAAATAGGAGAATCTGCAATGCTGAAAAAATACCCTCAAACTCAGTGGAAGGTTTAGAAACAAGTGCCTAACCTAATAGAAAAGTTCTGGAATCAATCCATCCTGCTTCTAATGTATCTAAGGTCAAGCAGCAGTTCAAAGTAAAATCCATTTCTAGCATAAAGTTTCCCATTAAAAGTGGCAATTTCAGTCCCAGAAAATTCAACCAGGGTGCAGGCCTGGAACATTGACCCCTCTAGCGAAAAAACAACCTCTAGCTGAAAAGCATTGAATACTAAGCAAATGAATGAAATGCAAAGAAGAAGAAATTGTAAAATGTTCTATCTAAGCTATGGATATTCATGCGGATAATAAAAAAAAAAAATTAGCATTTTGGTTGATAAAGAGGTCTTGTTAAAAGTATCCGTGAGTATAATTGCTATGAGATCTGCTTTGTCTAGTTATGTCCACATAACTCACCTCACTGATCTCTCTATAATGAACAAGAACAATGTGCTCGTATGCCCTGAGAAAAAGAGAGGCAAAGGTGAGCGAAGTAGCTACATGATATGTGACACAATCCGTTTTTACTTTTTAATTACATAAAATAAGTCAATAAAGTGTAGGGAACCCCAAAATAAATGTTGTTTGCACATTGGTACAAATAAGCACAAGGATGATAAGAACAAATTATAGAAAAAGACTCGGACATATAATAAGTATGCAATCAACTAAAAGATACAAGCATACTCACGGATCCAACATCCAATAGCTACGTCTCTGAAAATTGGAATTCTGCTCCCCATGTGCATAGTAACAATTTAAAGCTTCAGCATTTCCAACCTAGCCATACAGGAAAGTAGCTGGTAAAATGTCTGTCCTCAAGCTGAAGACATCATAAAAAGGAGAACTCCATTGAACATGGAACAAAGCCCTTAACTTCATTAACAGAGCATGAGAGCAAGAAGTGATTCACATTACACACACAACCTTTAAGCTCTTGAATGCATGCTAACACTATAATATATATAAATATTCTAATTGAAAGTTGTTTAGGGCAGACAAAGAAGATTCTTCTGATTCACAAAGTTCAGACCTGAGCTTAGCTGAACGGGTAGATGAGAGCTGATGCGTCACATTAAACAAAAATCAGTAAGAAAATCATTCAGTAATGTGATGTTGTGGCCCAAATTTGGTCCCAGGTCGGAAAATTTTTTGACCCATTTTTTGCTTGCTGGTCGTGGACCCTGTTTAGTACTCTCTTGTAGCCCGATATATAAGGGCGTTTAGGGTTTGGAGTGGGATATTGAGAGAACACTGAAAATCGTAGAGAAAGAGGGTGAGAGCGAGAGCTAGGGTTTGGGGGCTGAAGGCTGAAACTTGTATTCTCCTGTTTTTTGCATAGTGAAAAAAACTTTCGCCGGATATTCACCATGGACGTAGAAACAACTTGTGTCCAACCACGTGAAATATGGTTCTTTGTGCGTGTCATGCTTACTTTTCTGTATTGATTCGTGAATTGTTCTTGATTCGCTGCATTTGTCGTAACAAGTAATTTGTCATCATCCTTGCTTTTATCCCGAAGGAACGGGGTTGGTCACATGAATTCACTTTATCTACTCTTTTCTATTACAAGCCATTCATTCATTAGTAGTAATTCCCACTACAAAACCCTCATATAAAATGCATTGAAAATTCAAATACCACTTAACTTACTTGTCAAAATATATATATATATATATATATATATTATCACTTAACGGGGAAAATATATATATATATATATCAAATTTAAGGCATTAGAACTTCTAATGTCTTCCAATATAAATTGAAGAAAGAGGCTCCGATTTTTACCATGTCATGATATAATCAAGATGAATTTTGTTTTGTTGGACTTGGAAGATGGTGCAGTGAAAGGAAAAATTAAGCTTCAGTCTCTATCTCAGATTTTCCTTTCATCATCTGATAAGTAGGCACTAGCTCAGAATTTTTGGACAAAAATTTTTGTCCATCAAATATCATGAATTTGGTGTTTTCAGAAGATTCTTGCTCATTTCAACTATAAGGGTACATCTTATATTGAAGATATAAAGCAATCAATGTATATTTCTATAACATATATACATCATGATGATATAATTACCAGAGAATAATACCATATGCTGAACTGACATTCAACAGAGTAAGGCTATCAAGAAAGTCCTCTCGTGACAAAAACAATGAGCTCTCTTTCTTAGTGACTGGATTGAGACAGCTTTTGAGATTCATGAAAAGTAAAATGAATATTTTTATAAATCTCGCAGCCCAATGGTCAACAAAGATAGCTCATATGACTTGTCATGAGAGGGCTTGATAATTCTACACTATTCAACACGGCACAACTTCAGGGGTGGGGTCAATGGACTGCATTGGGTATGGATGCACCCACCATAAAGGAGCCAAATGAGCCAAATTGAAAGGCTATATTGGTCATGTTTGCTTAAAGAGGTCTCCATGAAGTGTGTGTGGCATGGTAAACCAGAGCAAAAGGCCCCCTTTTTTAGTATCTATATATTATATTTACATTCAAGTTCTCGGATATTCCTTTTTAAAAGCTGTAATTACAAACACTTTTTGTGTCTCACTCATCCTTTCAGGTTTTTGAAGAAGAATAACCCAAGCTTTGTACCCAAAAGGTTAATCCATCTAATACTAATTTATCCTGTTATATAACTATATCCATGTCATTTGAAATCCATTGCTATAAAGAGGAACTCCATTTTGGAAAATCTTATTTTGCTTACTATTGCTAATACTTCAATTATTATAAGCTTTAAAAATTATATTTCCATCTCATCGCAATTTGTGGCATTTTATGATCATTCAAGAATTAAAATAATTAAGCCAATTCTTATGTAAAGAAAGTAGGTGGCACTTGTTAGGTCCAAGTGTCATGTGTTGGCATGTGAAGAGAAGTATCAACTAAATCATAGTGTTGAAATCACATTCTTCTAGGAAAATAATTAAAAAACTACCCCCACCATGTCCTGAAATTGTCCTAGATACACCCGCTGTGTTCAACCAGAATATAAAATATTCAAATTCCAGGACACTGCTAGCCGTGTTGGACAAGTGTCAGTGTCCGCGTGTCCGATACCGCCATGTCACCCCTAAAAGAAGTGTTTGTTCTTCTTAGGCCTACATCCACCATAATACATTCGAGAGTAAAGGAACGACACGCTGGGTGTACAAATAAAAAGTCTGCAAATATAAAAGCAGTCCAGAGAAGTGACTTCATTACTCCTAAGATTAGCATATCAGACTATAACATAAATGTTATGACAGACAGACTTTTCACAAGAAGGCTAACAGTATAACTACATCTTTAACAAACCTTAAGACGTTCATGTGCTTCTCCAACAGTTCTTCCATCCTTCTTCTTTCGCCAACTATGACCATCTCTACGAAAAAATCGGAGGACTCTCTTGTTAAAAAGAAACAAAGATCCACCTGTTTACACATTCGGTCAATGAGATAGAAAACAAAGCAATAATATGCAGTAAACCTGACAAATGTGAAAGTTTTTCCAATGAAATCTCACGATAAGATACAAGGGATAAGAAGGTTACCTGCTGGCCTTTGAGGGGGTTCGTGAGTGAGCTGACACTCCTCATAGTTCTGTAAAACAAAAAGCACTTCTGCAGGCTTCAGCCACCGGGATTGAGCTTCTTGAACCAGATCCTTAATATTATATCCTGCAATTGGACATACAACATCACTCGTGATTTTTCAATCAACAAATTTCTATCTTTGGGTTCTGAAAATGCTATCATCAGGTGTATTTTACATGTTTTCAAGCAAAGAATGACAGAGAGGCAGGAATAAGAACAGAGTATGTTGTATTTTACAAGATGGTCTTCATGAAAAGGTCGGTCACATTGAAGTGGATGCGTCGAAGCTTAGAACTTTAAGAAAATTATAGCTTAGAACTTATAAAAAATTAAAGCAATAGATGTTTGCATTTGTGCTAGTGTTGACGCTAAAATCGGCCGACTAGAGCCGATCTTAAATTGAGATGTTGCGGGCGTGCTAGAACCAAATATATGGTCCGAATGTGAATTGTCAACTTGCAATCTCTTAGGAATAGTTGACTTCAGGTGATTATAGGAGAAAGAGAACAAATAAACTCCTTAATGAGTTCTACTTGCCTTAGTTAAGAGTACTTTGCAGTAAATAATTTATAGTAATAGTTAAGAGAATAGAAAGGGGAAGAAGTAGATATAGAAAGGAATATAAGGAGAGAAAGATCGAGAGGGAGAGAGAAAGAGATAGAGCGAGATATTGAGAGAGATAGAGATAGAAAAGAAATAGCAAGGAAGCTATTCTAGGAAAGAGCTTGAGAAAGCAAACAAATAAATTAAAGGATTCTGAGGGTGCTGGACCTCGTCCTCAGCAGGCTCCTTTGTTTATTTATAGAATAAACTATAAAACAATTTCCTAAATACAAGCATTCCAATTGTATTGTAACTCTATAATACAACTGAAAAATTATTCAAATTGAACTAATCCTAACTAAATACTAATTCTTAATTAAAATACAAATGAAGGATAAATGCTACGTTTAATCCTTATCCATCATATTTAAATTCAAAAACTATTCCATCCGATCAGCAATGCCCTTGTGTGAAATCTGCCACGCCTTTGCTTCTTCTCTTGGAGTCTACTTCCATGTTCTTGGCCCACGAACTCAATCTCTTTCAGCCCAATCTCTTGCCATATCATTGCATTATAGTTATCCTTCAGCCCAATATTTATTCAGCCCAGACTTCTAACACATCATTGTTCAACAGGCTTTACATTCTTGGCCCATACTACTACTATCTCACTGTTCATCAAACCCAATTGGAGCCCAAACCCAAACCCCAAAATGGGTGTCAACAGCTAGAACATGAGAGATCAACTTCAGTCAAGAGCCTTTACCCCAAAGATTATGTATCATGAATTCTAGTCCAAATTTAACAAAGGAAAGACCTAATTGTTCCACAAATCTTTTCTTAAGGGATAGGAACACTAGAACTACAAAAATTATTTACAGCAGCCAAGCAAATATTGAAATGTGAGAGCACAATTGATACTAATTTTCATAACATAAGAAAAAAAATCCATGCGTTAGCTTGGAAGGCTAGGGGTTTTAGTCAACGTGTTTTAACGTCGTAATTCAGAAGTCAAAACCGAACATGAAACTGGAATGACAAATAATACTTCTTTTGAGCACATAGATAGCTATATATTACAGTAATGAAATTGGATAAAGAATGCAAATTGAAACTCGCAAATGTCTGTAGACTCTGTAAAAACTTGTACAAAATCAACATTGTAATCTTGATTTGGAAAATGCTAGATGTTGTGGGGTCCACTTGGAGTCTTGAATAATTGGGGGTTTTGATCAGGGTGCATCGTTTACGAGTTTGATAATTTGATGGACATTATGATGCAATTAACCTAATTTGAAGAGTCCAAAAGTCATGAGCTAACCTCCAGGTAACTCTAAGAGTCATTAGTAGAAATCCTATAAAGGGATGGGGTGCAATCTTTGTTGACTCAATGAATGAATAAACAAATTGTCTATGGAATTCCAGTATGAGTGATTCACAAATTATGAGGGTGTGAGAGCTTCTGTAGTGTGATGCCTAGACCTGTTGGTGTAACTTCAATAGGATGCACTTAGTTCATTTCCTTTCTCCTCGATTGTAAATTATACATATCTACCACCAACCTTCAGCCCCCATCGTTTGAAATTTCAGCCACTAAATTCTTGAAATTTCAGGTCTTTAAGGCTGTTCTTAAAGTCCTACATCAATATGCGAGTAAGGTGTAATCTGAGTGAGAGGTAATTCAATAAGAGTGGAAAAAATTACAACAATAGAAGTTGTAAATTCGCAAGAATAGTCCAACTGTGCACAACCTAACAGAGCTCACTCTCACAGACAAATACTATGATGTCGTTATAATATCAGGAACACAATCCATGAAATCACTGCAAGAAGCTTGGATTAGATCCTGGCAAGAGATGGAAAAGAGAAGCCTCCTGTAGATAGAGACACACATTCAGTGCAGAAAAAGCTTTCTCTTGTCATGAAAATGTTACACTCCAAAATCCTTCAAAGTATGCCGCCCACTTTAGTGGACCACAACTATGCAAGCTATAAAGTCAACCACTAACCTATATATTCACTGAGAAGACTAATGACAAAATATAAAGAGAGAGAAGAAAGAATCCATGTTTTTGTAGATTATTGAAAACCTATTCTTATAGTGATGTTATGGACTGATGATATTTAAGTTATAAGAGCAGCTGATAAATATCTGTAGTTGAATTGATTAGACCAATACTGGCTCATTGCTATACTAGAGCAACTTACGTAAACCACAGTCCTAAACCTAGGCCTAGGCTGAACACCACTATACAACGTAAAGATTCAAAACAGTCGCATCTTCCAAAGACTGGATTATCACTAAATTCACACAGATCCTTTACACATCATTTAGTTAAATCTACAATTGAAGCATTTTAAAGTCACAATGTTAATTGAAGAGAGAGAGAGAAGAGTAAATGGAAGAGGAAGAAGAAAAACTAAAAATAAAAAAAGTGAAGAAACGTAATGTCCTTACCTGATTGCATCGTTCAGAAACTTTTCTTTAGACTCGAAACTGGGGGAATTGCAGATAAATCACTTCATAACAATTGTTGGAATTCCGGAGACGATTGTGAAATTTCTACTCAGTACACAAAATGGAACGGTAAAGTTCGTTTGGGGACTCCGCCGGAAAAGGATCGGACGGTGCCGGAGAATTACAAACCCCCGATGATCAGTGAATCAATCCCTAACTGGATCACCACTCGAACAAGTGCTTTAGTTCATAAGACAGTCGCGGACAACGAAGAATCGTAGAGAGAGAAAGAGAGAGGGGGGAGAGAGAGAGACGACTTGACCTTGACGGACTCCACCGTCTTTAAAACAACTGAAGTAGTGTAACGAAAGAGCATAAAACGGACAGAGTAGGAAGGAGGATGTCAGAGAAACAAGGGGAGTATATAGTGCTACGCATCACAGAAGACTTTTCTTGTTACCATGACGTGGCGAGAAATTATTGGCATAAAATTTGGAGTGGGTTGAGATAAAAAGTTGAATTTGGTCACAATTGAAACCTAATTCGAAGGGACGTGGAAATGTGGCTCGCCTCCAGCCAAGTATATTCCTATCCTATAAAGATAAAAATTGATTGTGATTAACTTTTAAGGTTTCGTAGAAAATTTTAGTATATTCTCGTGGAAACGTGGAACAGGTGCCTCGCACCTCACACATGTGAGAGAAACTATAAACATGTATATATATATATAGTGTGTGTGTGTGTATATATACATATATATAGTATATAGCTTAGTGCCCTTGCCACTTCAACAGGGTCGCAATCCGGCGTTGGTCAACATAAGCCACCCTGAAAATTTATTAAATGGCCTTGAAAAAATCATATGGTTTGTTGAATCAAAACTTATGGACAAAATTTTTATGATATTTTATTATTATTATTTTAATTAATTCTTTTAATTAAATTTTTTTTATTTTTTAAATTGAGTTAGATCACAATTTGCTTGTTAGTGATAAAATAAGATCATTACGGTGTAAACAGAGGACTTGGGCAAGGCAATTAAGGTTAGACTCTCAAATTTAGTAACATAATGTAATATAATAATATATGTATGAAATATACCTACTTTTCATAATTGAATGTAACTAGTTTTTTAATTAATTAAAAGACATTCATTTCAAACTACAATTCTCGTAATTAAAAAATAATACACAATCATATATCATGTAGAATTATGGTAATAAATAACTTTAAAAAAAAAAAATTATGACAAAATAAACACATACTTATAATTTCAATTTATATGTGTAATACAATAATTTGTATGGTAAAAACAATTTGCTTATTTCCCTTTCTTTCAAAAGAAAAAATAATTTTTTATATTTAAAGAAGAAACTGATTTATTTATAATTTTGCTTCTCAAAATGTAAAACGGTCATATTTACTTTGATATGGAGTTGAATTTTAATTTTTTTGACTAAGTTGTATTGAATATTTTAAACTTTTTAAATTTAAATTGGATTGTGTTCTTTGTAAAGTATCAAGACCGATTTTTGCTTTGTGTGTTTTCAATCTTAATATATTCTAGGATAAATTACACTTACTTTCCCTCATGTTAATTATAAAAAGTCAGTTATACCCTTATATGAAATATATTTTTATAATATAAAATATATTATAAAATCTAAAAAAATCAATTATTATATTTCATCTCCCTTATTACTTTATCCCTCCTCTCCATCACTGTTACCGTCTCCTAAAAAAAATCTTGTGAATTAATAAAAATAAATAAATGAGTGTAATAGCAACTTGATCATTTTATGAAATTTTTTTTTAAAAGTTTTCATGGACAGGGGAGGTCACACAAACCTCAAGAGAGGTTAAAACAATAAATTTTAGAGTTAATTCCACCTACACCTCCTGACGTTTGCCTATATTCTACACACGCTCCCTTTACGTTTCATAATTTCACCTACACTCCCTGACGTTTGTCTATATTTCACACACACCCCCTCTAAGTTTCATAATTCAATCTACACCCCCTGACGTTTGTCTATATTCTACACACACCTCCTATACGTTTTATAATTCTACCTGCACCCCCTGTCAGTAAGCACAGTTTAGTTTCCTAACAGAAATGTGTAATTTTACTGTTTTACCCTTGAATTATATATTAAAATTTATAACCCAATGAAAAAGACTTTTAAGACCTCAGTTTAAATTAAATTTCTCTCTCTCTCCTCACACACACACATTATATATATATATTTATTTATTTCTTTTTTCTTTTTCTTTTTTTTTTTGCCCTTTCTTCTTCATTGTTGCCGGCGAGACCACCGGACTGAACTGACCTTCACCGGACTTGGGATCGCCGGACTGAACTCGGTCGAGGTAGCTGTGAACTTCGCCGCCGTTGTCTTTGATCCGGCTTACCTTGTTCTTGTCCAGCGTTACGACGGTGAATACACGGCCATAGATTCGACGGAGTTGAAGTCCGGTGTTTGGACTGAACTAAGGATTCCTCCTTTTTCAGTCCGGCAAGCAGCGATTCAGTTGTGCGAAACCCAATTCAGCGATTCAGTCGTTCTCAAAGCTAGAATGAACTAAGTTCGACCAAACCCAGTTCAGTCCGGCGAGCAGAGATTCCTCAACCCACCTCGGTGAAACCCAATTCAAAACGGCCATAGACACGCCAGAGCTCTGTAGAAGAATTCGGCCTAGCTCTGTAACTTTCTCACCATCCGAACGGCTCGATGGCATCGTAATCGGCGGCAAAAATCAGCATCTCGTGCTTCGACGGGAGACCGGACCCAACCTTTACAGCCTCTCCAACATTGCGCTGTTGATCAACGTCGTCGGCGCCGGAACCCTCGATCTTGACTTTTTGGTATATATATATATATATATCTATATATAATGGTATATAACATCACCCACATGATTGCATGCACATTGCACAATTTTTCAGGGGACAAAAAGTATCTTAAGTGAAGGGAGGCCGGTTTATGCTTGGATTTTCTCACTCTATTTAATCATTCTTTGGTTGGATACATGCATACACAGTGTGTGGATAATATCTGCAACGTAATAATCTTTTACTCATAAAGTGAATAAGAAATTCAACTATAGTTATATCGAATGATCATTATTCATGGATGAAATTTTTATTCATTGATGATTAACAGGACTATTATATAAGCCTTTACCCTTGGGCAAATTGAAAAATATAATTTAATTAAAAATTTAAAAAGAAATTAAAATAAATTTAATTTAATTGCACCATTTAAATTTATTAAAATTAAAATTTTATTTTTTAATTAAATTAATGGATTTGTGTGTGGAAGGAAGAAGATGATATATATATATATATATATATATATATATATTGAAGTGAAAGGTAGGATATTCTTGTACACTTGAATTAACGAATGAAGGGCAGTTTTATAATAGTGTATTAGTGAAATGAGGTTAAAGATGTCATTTTAGACATTAGAAGGGTAAAATTGACTTTTTAACAATTCGCTGATGTTGACATCAGCATACAATGTGAGCTACTTAACGGCAGGGGGTAATTTGCGGTCGGTGGAATATTGAAACATAGAGAGAGTGTAAGTGAAATATGAACAAACGTCAGAGGGTGTAAGTGAAATTAACCCTAAATTTTAAAAATTCTACTTGTGTGAAATTTGTTCAAATATTAAGAGAAGTCATTATATGTTTATTGTTTGATTTTAATAAAAATTTCGCACTCATATAATTTTTTTACTCGTGTGAAATCTTAGGTATGGTCTCACATTTAAAAATTCGCCTAGAGACTTTAAAAATTATGAAAATCCTTAGGATATGGTCTATATCTTTTGTATATCTATATAAACAGTGCGCACAGAAGAGCATCAAAGTCCCCATTAGTTAAAAGGGTTTTGTGTAGGGTAGAGACTACATTTTTGTTGAATGCTCTATTCAATTGGCGTAAAATGACTTGTACATAAAATATAAACTACGCAACGCTGCATCAAATAATAGAACTCCAAATTCCGATTGAGAATATTTTTTAGGATTTTGGGTATTACAATGTCCGTACAATATACCCAATCGTCTTTTTGTTGTTACTCACGTCAAAATGTTAGAGAGTCAGAGTGCTTGCGTCAACTTCACGTTAAAAGCACCCCTATTCAATGACAGGGAACCCTTTTTGAAAAAAATGACACAAACCAATAAAATACATAAAAGAAATTATTTTGTTAAGCTCGGTAAGAAAAACGTGAATTTTAACATGCCATTGTTGTAGCTTTAGTCCTACCCACAGTTTTTAATCCATCTCTTTCTCGAAACAATTTTGAACAAAATCCGTTGCCGTTGAATAAAAAAAGCCCAGATATGTAAAAGATCTAAAACGGTCCCACAAGTGGTTGGGTTCCTTTGATTCCACAATTCAATTTTGTTCTAATTTTTTTAAAAGATAATTTTGATTTCAAAATACGTTTAAATGAGTTCAATTCGAATTATATGCTATGCTAATTTATATACTAAACAAACTTACGTGAGTTGGGACGGTTACACCAAAAGGCGTCAGTTCCTCACAAAGCTTAAGATATGGGTTTAAGGATTGAAGAAAAATGAAGATGGGATCAAATGGCTAGACTTTGCTGTTGGGATTACTTCACTAAATTTGCAATTCTATCCTCCAGGCTCAACTTAGCATTTCGAAAATTTGTTCAGAAAGCCTGAGATTGAGATAACGATATGTTATGAGTGGGTAAATAATTGGTTTGCGTTATTTAGCTAGTTGAGAACAAATATTCTTATTCTTATTAAAGACTTAGGTCTGAACAAATTCATTACTTCCTTCATTTCTTTCTTAATAAGGTTATAGAAAGAACTTGTGCTCAGGGGCGGAGCCATGATCTTGAGGTTTGGGAGGTCAAAATTATAAGTAACACTACTTAGCTAGAACTTATAGAGAAAAAAAAAAAAATATTACGTAGGCAAAAACATTTTACTATTTATTATATTCATACAAAAATATATCTATCTATTTTTTTTTTTTTTTTTTATTTAAAAAAAAGACACACACACACAAAAATACATATATACATACAAAATTTATATAGAGAGAGGAACAAAAAAAAAAAAAAGCTTTGAGATTAACCTGACTGCAGTGTGCATAAAAATTATCTACATTCATGAGAAAAAAGTGATTCCTTAGGTCAAACAAGGTTATGGAAAGAATCGTGATTGAGTTGGAATTTTAGGATAATAAGATTATGGAAAGAATCGTGATTTAGTTGGAAAGATTTTAAGATAGAACATTATGGAAAGAACTCTGTTTGAGTTAAAATTTTAAGATAGTCACATTAAATTTTTATATGTCATTTTTTGTATTACTCCTTATCTTTTAAATGCTAATTAAAGAAATAAATTTTTTTTTTTGTTTTTTCTTAGGGGGGCCAAGTATAGATTTTATACTATTTATGTTATATTATTTTTATTTTTACCTATACTAAAAAATAAATTCCAAAAAATTAGGGGGGGCCATGGCCACCCCCAGTTCCCCCCTTGGCTCCGCCCCTGCTCGTGTTGCATTGTAGGTTTGAAAGGAAGCTCTATGGCATGCCTGTGCACACCTATGCTTTGATTTTGGGACAACGTGTATATAAACTCTAATTTGTTTGTTGTTTAGACGACGAAGTTGCTTTCAACGGAGACTGCATTTATCTTTCTCTCTCTTTCGTTTTGTATGAATGGTACATGCCTAATCACGTGCCAGATTATATTCCTACGGGTCCCTAAATCATTTTTTTTTCTTTCCCATTATACCCCTAATTATTGGAACGCTTATATCTACATTAAAGATAAAAATTACCTGTTGGTCAATAATAAATAAATAATAATAATTCAAATTTCAAAACCATACCATTGTAGCTTTTGGTAAAATTTTCAAAATAATTTATTCTAATTTTTCCATATATACATTTGAAGTTTAAAATTTCAAACTTCAATATTTAAAACACAAAAAGGCAAGTTAGTAACCTTACAGGGAGACAATGCACGTCTCATATGTCCCTTTAAAAATTATTATTCTCCAAAAACCACACTTAAATTGAAACGAAAGAAGTATATACTTATTCTCATTTTAAAAGACTTGGGTCCGAATATTAATTCTTTGAAAATTTGGTTATATACTTATTCTCATTTAAAAGGAAATATACAGTGGTTAGGTATCTTTGAAATACATGCAAGAATTAGGTTGCTTTTAATAAGAACAATGTAAATTCTACTACCGATAAGTAGCTCTGTAGAAACTCAAATCCACGTCAATAATTATATTCCATTGGTGAAATTCACCATTGAAAAATGATAAATTTCATCATTATAATATTGAAATTCCACAAATAATCCAATAAAATAGATGAAATTTTACCAATATAATGGTAAATTTTATTATTGAAATCTATAAACTTCATCAATCTCACGTAACAATATAAAATTATTAGTGAAAAGGATTTTAATTCCATCTATAGTCCATAGACAACCTCAGAGATCAAACAAGCTAATAAAATCAGTGTCCCAAGTAGAAATTCCAATATTAATGATCAATAGTTATCCTCTTATTGACTAATTCAGTTATATAATTTTTTGAAAATAAAATTTTTTTATAAAAAATTATTTATTAATAGTTTAGAGAATTAAAATTTGAAATTTTAGTTTAATTTTTATTTTTATTTTATGAGTAGTAAACCAAACAAATCCTAAATAATTTAACACAAACAAAAGGTTTGAGGATTTCAATCTCCCTCTCAAAACATAAAAAAATTCATCAAAATTAGATTGTGCAAAACCCACAACACCAACGACATAGTCACGTGCGGGGATGTGGATATATAGAGAAATGGGACGGCAGGAGTGAATCCAAGTGGCTTGATTCCATAACCCCCGCCCCACCCGCTCTCTCTCTCTCTCATTCTATCCACCTTTTCTTCCCACCAAATCCTCCTCTGTTCGTCTCCCCCAATTACATAAACCCCTCTCAATCCTCCCTCACAATTGCCCTCTCATCTTTTCGATTAATCAGTCCCTCCTCTTCTCTCTCCCTTCCACCACCGTCACCGATACATACATACATATATATAGAGAGAGAACGAAGTGGAGATGTCGGACTGGGGCCCAGTGTTTGTAGCCGTGGTGCTGTTCGTTCTGTTATCTCCGGGACTGCTGTTTCAAGTGCCTGGACACCATCGATGTGTGGACTTCGGCAACTTCCACACCAGTGGTGCCTCCATTATGGTTCATTCCTTGCTCTATTTCGCTATCATCTCCGTCTTCTTGCTAGCTATTAAACTTCACTTGTACCTTGGCTGATGTCACTTTTTGCTTCTCACATTATTCGTATTACTGTTATCTGCTGTTGTAACAAATTTGTGATCTGTCTTTCTTTGGGCAATAATCTTGATTACTTTGTGTTTATCATATGGGGTTTGTTGTATTTGGCTTGAGAATTCATCTTTTCAATTGCAAACTTAAGCAATCTTTTCAGCATTATCTACTTTTCTTTCAAATTTGTTGATTGTTCTAATCTGGCTTAATATAAAGCTAGCTAACGGCTATACCAGTGCACGAGGTTGAGGTAGAAGAGATACCACTAGGCTACACATCTTTCGTAACTCTTTGGCAGTTTAATGATCTTGATAGTACTGTAGTTTGCATTTGTGTTCGGGGTGCAATTTTTCCTCCAAATTTGAGAAGCCTCTCAAAACTCAAGATTTGCATTTTAGTTATTAGAACAAGATCTACAAACTTTAGGGTCTGCAATTACAGCAGAAATGGATGAAAAAAAAGAAGTTAAAAAACATCAATGTTACTAGCACCACCATAGACAAATCACACTGCCATTATCTATTTCTAATAAAGAAACAAAAGACAACAACATTTCCAGCACAATATCACAACCACCGCCACCACCACTGTCTTCATCCTCGCTACCACATTTGTTGCTGCCACTACTCACAGCAGCAGTTCAAAATTGTTACAGCTTCACCCATTGTCATTGTTTAATTTTGCTCTCACCAGCCATTTCTGCTCACCATCACCACTATGTGATACTGTCATTGCTAATACCCACCTGTCATAACTGCCGTCATCTCAACCACCATTGCCAACCCCATTTGCTGCCGCCTTCATGCTGTCACACTGTTGGTATCATTTCCTCTGTTGTTGCCGCCACCATCACCATCTCAACTTCCAACATCATATAATTGTTTACGATCTCTCTCAATGACCCACAACTTCTGTAACTATTGTCACTATTAACGTCACATAATCATTGTCAAGATTTCTTCACCATTTATTCCACAATCCCCATTTGCTACTGCCTTCATGCTGTCACACTGTTGGTATCATTTCCTCTGTCGTTGCCGCCACCATCACCATCTCTACTTCCAACATCATATAATTGTTTACAATCTCTCTCAATGACCCACAACTTCTGTAACTATTGCCACCATCATGTCACATAATCATTGTCAAGATTTCTTCACCATTTATTCCACAATCTCCACTATTAACCTGTTCTTCCTAGACTAGTAGTTGTTTATTATATCTAATTTAGATCAAATCCAGTTTAAGAAAGTATTAACCTGTTCTTCCTAGACTAGGACTGCCAGGGTTATTTTGTATGTTGGAGCCGTTTTGAGGATGGGTAAGGTAAAGCTGTAACTCGGAACTCCAATGTGCCAGACATACAATAAAGCATCCGAGATCTACTAATGCAAACATGTACGAGCTACCAACTCTTTTAAGTTTCTTGTAAATTCATAATTCATGGTAGTCTGGTTCTTTTTGTAAAGTACAGCTGCTCTGTTTGTCTTAGGAAAATATATGTAGGAATTGGATTTAAAAAACTTACAAGTTGCAGCTAAATCTTCTATCAACAAAACTCACAATTTTGTTCTATTGTAATGAAAATGGTACTGCTATTAACTATGTCTATGTACGTGAAACTTCACTTCTCCAACAGCCATGCTTTGCTGCTAGTATATATCTTGACAAGGCAACCTTGTAGTCGTAGACTTCCCATGCCTACACCATTGTTATCATGGCATTGTATTTATAGCAAAGGTTACTGCTCTTGACTGTCATTAATTGTGGAACTTATAGAGTTGATATATTCTCAATGTTCCATCATGCGTTATCTTTAGAAGTGAATTTGTTTTCCCCTTTGCTTTTGACCTTACTGTTATTAGATTGTAATAACATTCACTAGACTGTGCCAGGTCTTCCAAGTAAAATTCTGGGTGAGATTTTTAAGAGTGATGCCATGGATTTATTAAGCTATCAAAAACATGTTAGGTTGAGTCAGCTTGATTACTTCTTTAGAATAAACCATTGTCTTGCTTCTTCAGAATATACCGTTGTCACTTGCGAGGTCACAGGTATTTAGAGCAAGTAAGAAAGTCTCTGAAACCAAGAGTCGTTGAAGGGGGTTCTGGTGCAATGTATAGGAAACTAACTATGTGATAATTTGAGTATCGTTAGTGTCTTCCAAGAGTGCATTCATCTTGAAGGCCATCAGATAGCTTAACTGCTGGCAAACTGTAGATTGTTTCAGTAAAACTTGGAACAACTTTAGTTGGAAACAGGCTGCATATGGCTTAACTTTTTTACTACCAAAATACTCTCACATTTTTTTTTTTTGAAAGCAAAACATCCACCATTTATTTGCAAGATCATGCAATTTCTTTCATGTTTTCAGAAGTAATGATGTGATCGTGTAACCTGACATGCGAAAAGCAAGGACGAATTGAGATTGAAATCACACAGAAATGCTGGTGTTTGATCATCAATAGCGTCTATATGAGGTTTTGATTTGTGTCAGGATGACACTTATATTGTGTTTGGAGGCACGGAATTGGCGGAGAAAAAATAGTTTAATGTTTGAATTAAATTTCAGCCATTCTAATTTCAAGGCACCGAAATGTTTATAACTAGTGGATTGGCTTACAACAATCACCTGCAAAATCTTATGTTTAGGAAGAACCTCAAGGGAGGGAGAATCCATCTCTCTCTATTGGGAATTCATATTATATGTATTGACAATTTATATAACAAGATCCTCCCCATCCGGATTCAATATGGGACAATAACTTTCTTAGACTGGGCTAAAAGAAAAAGACATTGTTCCCTTGCAGTGTTTGGTTGGGAGGAAGGATTGGGGGGGGGGGGGGGGGGGGGGTGATAGATGAAACTTTTCCCATTTGGTTGCCCATCCGGATTCAATATGGGACAATAACTTTCTTAGACTGGGCTAAAAGAAAAAGACATTGTTCCCTTGCAGTGTTTGGTTGGGAGGAAGGATTGGGGGGGGGGGGGGGTGATAGATGAAACTTTTCCCATTTGGTTGGAGGGAAGAGAATAAAGAGAAAGCAAGTTGTTTCTTGATCGGAAGAGAGGAGGAAAAGAAAGAATAACCTACCCAAAAAAGAGAGATGCCAATTTTAACCTTTAGCTATTTATTAGTTATTTATTAAATAACTTGTTGAACTCTCTACTGAAATTGTGTATGTTGATAAAAATTATACAAACACTCCTTCTTTTCCTTCTAACCAAATAGAAAAAATCCATTCATTCTATCATTCCTTTCATCAAATCAAGCAAAAAGAAACACAATTTCTTTCCCAGAGATGTCTTTTCCATCCCTCTCCCTTCCATCCATTTTTTGCTCCAACCAAACAGAGCATTAGAGTCATGACTTGAAGTCAGTTTCTTCTCAACACAACACAGATAAATCCACATAAGTAGGCCATAAATACTTCATTAATATAACTATACACCTTAGTTTAGAAGGTTGAATGCCCTGTGCTAAAGACCGATGGTGGTCTAACCACCCCAAAATATAAGTTCTTTCTTTTGGCTTGCAGAAGGGACCCCAGGTCCTTCCCTTGTCAGAAGAACTAAAAAAGTTCAAACGCTATCAAAAGACTTGATCAACTCTGTTCACAATAAAGGGGTAGTTGCAACCCATGCGGCTTCATAGCCACTGAAACTACCATCCACATCTTTTATTACGTACAAAAACAGAATTCAAGAGTGTGACGTGTGCCACTACAATCTTCATCCTCATCCCTTACCTAATAATTCCAAATCATTTAAAGAAAGGACAGCTATGGAACAGCTCTAATAATTGAAGAGAGAAGAGTTCCGACGAACAGATTTCAGACAGAAATCTGAAATCTTTGAGATCCACCTGCCCAATTTTGAAATAATAATAAATAAATAAATAACAAAATGAAAGGAATTTACCACATTAGAGAAATGTGTAATGTAAATAAAGGAATTCTCTTTTCTTGCATTTTTATTACGAAATGAACTCGGATCAAACAATCTAAGCAAGTAGAAAATACTCAGATCAAACAACATATACATACAATGCCTAGTTAAGTTTTACATATCCCCATTAGCACAAAAACAATAACATATTGAAGGGGGGAGGTAAAATAGGAGTAGAAACAGAGAACAGTGTGTTTCTGTTTCTTAAAAGTGTAATCACTAATAGGAACATTACTTTTCTTGGAGACCTTCAACAGTTCTATTATACTCGATTAACTATAAAAAGTTCCACGTGTTCCAGTAATAATTTAAGAAACTGTAATCCATCCATAGTTCCTGTATCAATCCTTTTAGGAGCTTGGACAATTCATTATACAAAGAGCACTAGTGCTGCTTGGTCCTCCACCCATGGGTAATCCAACCACCCCTCAACACATTCACAAAAATTTCCACGCTGCACCATTCCAAGTTGAAAGTGTAAGGAGTTAATCAGACCAAATTTCTACAGAGATAAAAAATATTTGTTAAGCCATGCAAAAGGATAAGTTAAAATATGTATCAACCACCTTAATAAAACATACTAGGTTCAAAAATGGATCAACCACCTTAAAAAAAACACAGTATGTTCACTTTCTGTGTATATGTAGAGAAAAGTGCTCATTGAAATATTCTTTTCTTTTCCTTTTTCTTTGTTCCGCTTTGTGCCGGGGGTTGGGGGAAGGGAACCTCAGAACCACTTTTTATGCACTACAAAAATTCAAAGAATTGCTACATTAGCGCGTAATTCTCAAGCTGAAAATACTAAGTTGAATACAATCACCTCCTACGCATAAACCTCACACAGATTGCAGGCGTAAACAAGTTAAGTAGCAGGCTTGAGTCGACCAAATTTAAGAATGTAAATAGTTGGGTAGCAAATTATTCATGATTAAGCTTGGTTGAACTCTGCTCATTCAAACGAGCAAGTCTGGAAAAACCTCATATTTTTTCAAAGAAAAACATCCCACAGTTAAAACCAGAGGCAACTACCCAGAACATCATGTTTGAAAGTGACAACACGATGATTAAATTTGTATGATACAGATCCCATTTTATGGGTTTTTTATCCTAAAGAATCAGAGAACTATAAGAACTAATCAGAATCACTCAACTTGAAAATTTAGTACTCTTTCAAAACTTCAAATTTCAACATCATTCTTCTCATCCACTTGCCAAAAATGGTGGTGCCACGTCCAAGGCGCCTTTCACAAGACATTCCATATTTCCTTTTCTGATATTCAGCTACCCTATTTGATTCAACTCATTATGTTTGCATGCACCAGAATCCATAACGAGGTCTCTCTTGGAAAATATTGTAATGAACTGAAATTAATAACATCTAAACTTAAATTAACCATTCAAGAGTCCAACCATATAAATCTCAAGCATCGGGTTTAGCTTGTAGGCACTTTATATAAAAAGTTCAAAATGGTAGGCTGAGTTGGCTAACAAACCAAACTAGATGTCATGAGTACCTTATATGGAGGCATTAATAGCAAATGCTTCATACAGTCCAAATAAAGTGGAACAGTCATAATGCAAAAGCCAAAGGCAATCAAAGTATTAAACCTTCAAAAGGTCAACTTTCAGGTTATAGCTCTATGAAGGATCTACAACAAAACGAACAGAGGATTTACAAGTTGGAAATGACTAAAAAAAACTAAAAAACTAGTCTTCAAACCCAGGATACTGGATCAAGCAGATGAAAAAAGCCATCAACAGAAAAATTCTTTTTTGACAAACAAATATGTCAGTCATAGAGATCAGAAGGATGTATGCCAGAGGACAAACTAGAGATATCTGACCAGTATTTCAAAATTATGGAACAACTCTAAAATTTACTTGAATTGTGAAATAATAGTTGTCTTTGGAGCCTGGCTCTATATAATCCACCTCCATTTTGCACTTTAATTCATTGAGCTTACTCAAGTTCACTCTGCTTTTGTTGTGAGTCAGAGTTGGTTTCTCTGGTTCTTGATGGTTAAAGCTTTGACAGGTGAAAATAAATGACCCCCCTTCCCACTCTCGTTTTCCCTTTCTTTATTTTTTTTTTGGTCTTTCCTCCCTTCCATTACCAAACACTAGATAGCTACAAATTGTAGAACATCTATATTTCTTACACACCTATTTCCAACCAAACCATTTAGGAATGAAAGCCTATTTAAAACAAATGTACATAGATTATTAAAAAGTGCTGACCTCAAAGTTTTACTTATGAGTTTCCCTTATTGTCAGAATTCATGCACCATGCGATCACCATCTAGTCCATACTAAAATGGCCCAACTAGAAAAAAGATCAAATCGACTTAGCTTAAAATGTGAGTTGGGGTGAATATAGTCAAAAGAGAGAGAAAATAGAAGTTTGACCAGCGCAATATATCCCAATAAATTGTTGTGAAATCTTTCGATCCTTATGCAATCCTTTATCAACAGTTTCCTTTATGTACACAGATTTACCAAATAGAGAGCTCATGGATAGGTAGATCAGATAGTTCTCGTGGTAGCATTTCCCATTCTTTACACGTCTCAAACATATCATTCTGATTAATACTTGCCCAAAAAAAAAAATCTGATTAATCACCTAAATTGTCCAAAAGAAAGAACTTGCAGATTACTTTCTAACATAACCAAATATGAACTCAGGGCATCTAATTAACAGGATGGAAAATCAAAACAAAACAAAACAAAACTTCATAACCACAATAACTTCTGATGATCAGAGCTAAGATTGCAGGAAGATTTATATAAAATTAACAAAGAGACCACTATTCAAACAAAATAAAGAAACAATTACGCAAGAACAAACAGATATGTGATATGTCATGATTTTATTAACAGGACCTTGAGATTGAAAAACGAAACCTTTACCTGGAACTTCCTTCCTCGGCGAGGGGGGTGCCGTGGTATAACAAAGAATTGCTCGTCCCAGCATCGATAAACTCGATACAATCCCAACCAGGTAGAAAACAATCACCAAACCAAGAACCCATGGCATCAACATGAATCCAATAAAGAAAGTGACCGATCCACATAGCATTAGAGCCAGCGATATCCCCAAAAGCAACGACGCAAAACCCGCCGGCGTGATCTGTGGAGGCGCCGACGGCGGCGGCCGCCTCCTCGAGGAAGATACCGCCGGCGGCGGTGTTGGCATCACCGGCGAGTCATCGGAAAAAGAAATCGGCGTAGGAGGAGATCGGAGGAGGTTAAAAATGAGAGTAGATAGCTCGTAGAAAACCCTCGACTGCTGTTCTTGTCGTCTCATCATTTTGAAATGAAATGAAATTACAGATAACCCTATCCCCAGGGAAAAAAAAATTCCGAGCAAAATGAAAGAGAAAGAAAAAGAAAATCGAATTGCTAAATCGAGGCAAATGGATAAACTATGCTGACAGGATTTCTCAATGTTATCCGTCAAGCTTTATCCGTGCGCCGTTTGGTTGGAGAGGCTTTTATTACATGTGGAGAGTTGCAACAGGGAAGGGTTTGTTTGTTTCTGGGGAAAAAGTTGTGGAATTGTAGAGAGAGAAAGTAATAGGGGGCAGATAGCAGAAGACGCGGCTGTGTTGTTGTATGAATAGGCAGTTTTTATCTTAAGAGATAAAGGATTGTGGTCAGTGGATGGGTCGGGTCAGATAAGACTGACACGTATTAGTCGCGCGTGTTTAACACGTTACCAGATGATGTGGCACTTCTTGTTTCGGATTGGGATTTTAACACACGTTCACTTTAAACACAAGAAAAGCGCGTGGATGACTTTGAAATGCGTGGAATGACGTAGGTAGGAAGATTCTATACATATTAAATATAAGTAATACATACACTTTCTTGTTGAAATTACAAGGAGGACCCCACATCGTTGCTTTTGCTTTTGCTTGTACACTTGCTTGTTGGTTAATATTTATTAGGTGGGTCCTCCTCATCATTTTCTTAAGCTTTAAAAGTCAAGAAATAATGTAGTGTGGGGATCAAAAGACGGTGTCTCTTTTCACTCTTTTTTGATTAGTATGCCCCCAAGGCCTCTTCATTTTTCCTTCTCATTTGGGGTAAAATGACAAATTTATATATGATGATGTAATAGTGTTATCTGTTAAATTTAAAATTCAATTGGACATAAGGGAGTTTTTGTATAAAATTGAAAGAAAGAGCACGCTATTTCTTTCCCAAGTTCAGATTTGCATTGATAATAAAAGAAAAGTACAGATTCAAGTTGGCAATTTTTTTTTTATATAATAGAATTGTTAGAGCCGTTTCACAATTATAATTATTTTGTACTTTTACTTTAATCCAAAGTAAAAGTAATATTTCTGCTTTAGAGTGTGCTCAATACTACTTTAAAACTTATTTGGTAATATAAATTTGTTATAAGATTTTAGAAATAAAAACATGAAAATATGTTTGGTATAAAGTGTTAATAGTTTGAAAATTTGAATGGTTAGTTAAAAATGTTATTTTAGAATTTTTTTTTTGAACAGTGCTTTGTTATAGTGCGGAAGTAAAAAAAAAAGCATCATTTTAATTCTTCCGATTTTGACTTTAATTTTGAAAACGCTTCGGTACTATTTAAATGACAACAAATAATACCAAACATGTTTCATATTTTTACTTCGCTACAGTACATTAACAAAGTAAAAAATACAAAACAAAAGCATTAACCAAATGGACCCTTTATTAGGGACATTTTCTATTAAATGATTTATACATTCGTTGATTTTTCTTTCATTGAATTTCTCCATTGTCCATATAGTTTCCTATTTTAAAAAGGGTAAAAAAATAACAAAACACATCTGCTCCACGCCATGTTTACCCAAAGCTAATTGAAAAGTTCACCCTTGGGGTTTTTTCTTCTTTTAGGACAATTACTCAAATATTTTTCGTCATCAAACAAGTAACGTATCGGATTTTAAAGCAATATTTTTATGAGTTGTAATACAACCTTCGAATCCAAACGTGTAAAAGGGGCATAGTGTCATGAAATTCTTGTTCAACATTGAATTTGAATTGTGAAAAGTTTTAGACATATAAAAATAAGTATTAATTTTACTTAATAATTTTTAAATCGAATCATGAAACAATGACCTTGACAATGAGCTTGCTACAGTAATAGTAGTTGAAACTTGCGTAGTTTTTCTCATGTTTTGACTCCGAGCTGGGTTAAATCTTTATTTTATTTCTAACTTCTTCTCGTGGCTGTTTCTAATATAATTTTATTAGTCAATGTAATTATCAAAAACTAGATAATGTGAATTTCTGTCTTAAAGGATTGATTACAAAACAAACATGTGGAGCGCCATTTAATTATAGTATGCGGCAATATTCAAAATCTTTATTATTACTTTTGAAACTCTAATTATTGATTTTGAGTTACTACGTGGAAGAATCTCATTAGCATCCATGCATTAAACGACAGAATTATATTAAATTTTTAATCGAGAATCTTCCCAAATCATTTAATCAAATACAACTTACTTTTCTCGGTCGTGTAAGAGATAAAATATTATTCATTATTTTAAAGGCTTAAAACCTGTCACATGTGTTTGTGAATTGTGAATGAGATCAAGCCCCATCCCACTTTTGTTGCGGGAGTGGATTTGTTGTCTCTCTCCATTCAAGAGGTATTATCACATTTTCTAGAAAATAAAAAAAATAAAAATAAATAAATCTTTGACAACGGTTTTAGCATTTGAAACACATGGGTTTTTGCTGTGCTCTTTTGTGCTCCACACTTTTTTGGCAAGTTGATCCGGTGGGATTTCCCTGCCGACAGAAAGAACACGAGTTTTTTTTTTTGTTGCCAAACATTTTTGGCACGTCTAATATATGGGATATCTTTGGCTGACACGAAGAACACGAATATTTTTTTTTTGTTGCCAAATATTTTTGGCATAACCAGTGGGACTTCTTTGACCAGAAAGAGCACAAGATTTTTGTTTCCCAAACATTTTTGGCACGAGCAGTGAAATTTCTTTGGCTGACATGAAGAACACAATTTTTTTTTTTGTTGCCAAATATTTTTGGCATAACCAGTGGGACTTCCTTGACCAGGAAGAACACAAGATTTTTGGTTGCCGAACAGTAATGGCATTTTTAGGAAAGGAATTCATGTATGGTTTAAAAATGTATCTTTTTTTTTTTTTAAAAAAGAAAAGAAAAGAAGGGAAAGCTTGAATTAATTGGAACAAAAATGTACAAGGCAAGATATACAACATGGAACAACATCCAGAACAAAACGTCTAGTAACTAGCTACAGCAATACACACCCAAACAGCTGTCAACAATAAGAAGGCAAAAGTACTAGAAGAGGCAGTAGCTTAAGAGGAAGTAAAAGCCTGTGCATTGGCATAGATACAACCATCCATGAATAGCTGCTGAAGGTCTTCAAGCCTGCTGATATTCCTCAAGTCCGAAGCTTTCCTCAATTTGATTGATGCCAGCCTACCTCTGATACATTTCCTGATCTGACCAATGATTGTGGATGGAGATGATAATGCATTCCTGAAGGCCCTATTGTTCCTCTCCAGCCAAAGGAAGTAAACAACAGCAGAGAGCAATAATTTATGAACCAAGAAACCTTTTGAGCTCCAATGTGCCGAGCACCAAAAGATCAAATCACTCCATGAAGAAGGCTGAATGTAAAGTCCAATTGTGTGCTGAATAAATGACTAAATCTCCTTTTGAGTACTCACACTGGAAGAATAAATGATCCAACGATTCATTGTTGGCAAGGCATAGGTAACATGCATTGATGTGGTGCTTGTGCCTCATTGGTTTTCTATCAAGTGTGTACAGTCTACCTTTTGTGGCCAGCCAAGTTATAAACCAAATGATCTTGTGCCATGGGAAAATGAAAGTGGGAGGTAGCAGGTATTTGATTGTAGAGGCAAGGGAGAAATTACAATTTGATGAGGGTAACCATGCAACTGTATCAGTTTCATTGGAAGGTTGATGAATCTTATTTAATTGGGATAGAAAATTTTGTGATTGAAAAAAATGGAATGTGAGCAAGTGAGTCAGGGACCACCCAACGATTAAAGGAAATTAGGCTATCAACTTTGACTCTCAAGTCCAGTTGAAGAATTTCCTTCTCATTAAGGTTGATTTGGTTCAAAATAGGTCCATTTGGCAACCAATAATCCAGCCGCATCATAGTGTCAGTACCCTTCCCAACCTTGTGCCTCAGCAGACCCCTTGCCATATCTCTCAATTTCAGTAACCTTCTCCACAGTCCAGAGCTTAGAGCTGTGGGCTTAACAGACCAAAAGCTCTTGTTCTTAATTAAATACCTGTGTCCAAGCAACCCAGAGGCTTTCCTTCTTTCTAGCAAATAATTTCCAGATGTGTTTCAAATTAGCAATTGAATTAGTCAGCTCAATGTTTGGAAAGCCCGGCCCTCCATTGATTTTTGGCCTACACACCCACCTCCCAAGCAACTTTAAAAATGTATTAGTCAGCTCAACTCTAAAAATGTATCTTTGTCTAGTCATGTATAACCAAATATTAAACCACTCCTTCACACACGTTTATGTAATGTATGCACGTATGTATGCATTTATATATATATATATATATATATATATTGCAATTAACCATATATTCACAGACGAGCCATGCATGCTTTGACATAAGAAATATAATATTGTTTCTTTACAAACGGAGCTAGCTTGCATCTGAATAATGGAAACACAAACAAGCGCAATGTTTGAGCACGCCACAACTTTACATACGGTTCTCTCTCATGATGCAGACTAATAGTAGCTAGTAATAGACAACAAGTCTATGGTTTATGAGAAGAAATCCACACCATTAATTAGAAAGTACTTAGTTTTTTTGTCAAATAACATATCAAAGATAAAATTTGCTGATTCCCATGACAGGAATTTATGCAAATGATCAAGTCTGATCCTTTTACTCTTCTTATCACGGCAACCATCCTAGCATGTAATTATTCACACTGGGGCCTGCCGCTGCCGCTGCCGCTGCCGCTGCCGCTGCAGCCATTGGATCAGTCTGGTGGTATCTGAAATTCAAAACAATTCAACTAATAGAGAAATACTCTGATTCTAAAATTCTAACCGAAGTACATGAGCTAGATATATATAACACTTGGGGCACAGAATATATATAAACAAAGGTTAATACTTTTAGTTCGTGTTCAAGGTTGAGGAGGGCTTACCCAATTTGTAACGTGGGTTCACACTCCAAGTGATGAAAGAAATTAGCTTCACCCTGAGATTGAGCTGGTTGTCGCCCATACCCCAAATCTTGGGCATGAGTTGCATTCCAGTTGAGCGAACTTACTTGGTTTCCTTCCATCAACTGCCAACCATCATTCAAAGAGTTATGTTAGCAAGCCCCAAGTGGTTGATAATGTTAGCAAGCCAAAAACATAAAAGAATATAAATGATCATTTTTAAGCCCATTTTGCCTTTCCCAGCTCTGTTGCACCAAATCAATTACAAAAATTCATCTCCCTCAGCAATTTATATAGTATGCAAATGGTTGATAACGTTACGTACCCTTTGTTTCAGGCTGTTGTTTGCTTCATTTAGCGCGTGTTCCTGTAATTATAGATGAGTATTATTATCCAAAAGAAAAGAAAAACAAATTACGAATGCGTAAATTAGGAGAATAAACTGCATAAAAGATGAGGAAGCGTCAAGATGTTGTTTACCTTTCTTTGCAGATCTGTGAGTGTATCCAGCATGTATTGCGTCTGAACAAAGAAGGGATATAAAAGTTATTAGCTTTTTTTTTTAGTATTTTTTTTTGTACATGAGTCCATCACCAGACCACTTACTTGTATTGTCCAGTGTTCACATCAGACTGCACATTTTATTGGTGAAGGCATTTATAATGAATTCAATTGTCCTGTTAAAAGCTAAAAGCACGTTGAAGTCACTTGATTTAATTCTTAATTTACAGTACCTTATCTTCCAAAACAAATATCTAAATTGCCAATTTTTATGGTATCAGAGGTGCACAATTTCACTTCAGGGGTTGCTAATTCACCAGTTAACAAATATCTTCAGTTGAATTGGCAGCTGACCTCTGTTATCTTTAGTATTTCATAGCACTAAAAATGAGTATCCTTGGGCTTTAACGATGTCTATGGATCTCAGTGTATGATTTAGGGTTTCTATTTCCTCAGTAAAAGGGTAAGATTATAAGAGAAAACAACCATAGAGGATCAAGGGGGCATTCCCCCAATATAGATGTATAGAAAGAAAAACCACCACCAAAAGAAGCCTCAAAGGCCGACAAAAAGAGCTGCAACGTGCCAGCCACTACTGCCAATATAGGAGCCAAATATGGCAGCAAAACCTGTCAAACTAGAAAATGAGAAGAACCACAAGACAGCAGCTATATTTTTTAACCAAAACAGCAGCGAGATAGAACTAGCCAAAACTGGAGAGAAGCAACTAGGCAGAAATGATCAAGCACAGAAAGCAGAAGCCAAAGCCTCTCAGCAGGAAAGCAATCAAAACTAGATGATACCAGCCTCCATACAGAATATGGAGACCCATTTGCCGGATGAAAGAGCTTGGGAGTCTCCAATTCGAGGCAATGGATCTAGCTGTTGCACAGTTCCATTTTAACAGAAATTAAGAAGTCTACGTCTGATGAGATTAAAAATGGACAGACTACAAGAGGAACATTAGAGAAGCTTTAAAAACTAAAAATCCTACCATTAATTTCTTTCCCTCCATATTATGCCATAAACACAAGCACCAACAAATTAATTTCTTGTCAAGCTGATTTGTTAGATTTGAAATGAGAAGAGCAGTGGACAGAACACCGAAGTTTGGGACTGTAATTCCTTTCGTTTGGGCTTCAAGTATGGGTTGGGCCTCTGATTCCTTTAGTTTGGGACTCAAGTATGGGTTGGGCCTCTGATTCCTTCAGTTTGGGCGTCTAGTGTGGGTTGGTTCTCTCTCTTTACTTGTATTGTAGGTTTGTTTGGACTGGTTGGGTATGTCCAACCCAAGCCCAATCAGATCATGGACCCCTATAAATAACTAAATATTACTCTCATGTATACAATTCTGAAATATATGTATTTATGGAAGCCACTTGAATTTTGAAAATAGCCCAATATATGGAATGGGCAAAAGGTCAATGAAAGAAAAGGTGCTCATCAGATTCTGCAGGCAGAGGGGTAGAAGGGCATACATTAGGGATATCAAGTTACGTAAGGCCTTTCTACTCTTTTGACAATATGACTTTCTCGATTTATCCATACAAAATAAATAGAAAATAATTGATAGCATAAAAATAAGGAATCAATTAGTATATTTTTAAATTAATTTGAACATGGTTAGGTCAAGTACCCGTGTTGATCTTATCTGCTTCAGTGACATATCCAGCTGCCTTTCTAGTGACTCAAGCTCCTTGCTGTTTAGAGGGCCAAGATCCTCACCAAGAAGATTCCTGATGTCATAACAGTCAAAAGACAGACAAAATTTTCAAGTTTAATTCTTTTGTCTATTTAATGAATGAGATCTCTCTCTATCGTATAATTTGTTCAAACAGTTGGACAATTTCAATCAATATGATGCATATATGTACATAGTGAGATGACTTACCTCTGAGATCTTTGTAGGGCTTCATAACGTGCTTTAAGTTTCAAATACTCCTGTTGGCTACTCAGCTCCTAAAACCAGTGTAAATATTTTACAGGAATTTAATAATTAAAATCTGAATAACAAAAAGCAAATAATGCTGATAGGATGTAAATATATCTTTCAATTGATTATTGGTAAATTTTTTTTATTTTTTATTTTTTAATTATTGGTTTGGAAACTTCGGGATCGATTGAGGTTTTTTTTTTTTTTTTTTTTTTGTTTTTTAAAAAAATATTCCAAGTTAGCCCAGGCTAACCAAAATAAACATAACCCAAAAGAAAAACACGCCCAGGAAGAAGCAACCCAACCAGGCAAAAGATGGATTGAGGTTAATTCACTGATGAAAGAACAGAGACTACTAGAGTGTTAAAAGAGGACTCTATTATGTGTCCATTTGTTGTCCGATGATGTCGCTTGGAATTGATCGAGAATCCTAAAAAGGTTTAACTACTTGAGTTTGTTGCTCAACCAACTACTTCCTAAATGTTGTTTATAAATAGATTTGTGTTTGAAACCTAAATGCTTTTTATCTCTCATTCAAATTTTTTAAAATTGAAATACTTTTGTTTATTCAAATCTTAGATTGATGCGTGGTTAATATTTTCGAGATCATTGAAGATTTGGTATATTACTGAATACTGATATTAGGGGTGTTTCCAATTCAACAAAGTTTACAGATCTTTCTTCATCCTTTATTTATATTGTTATCTGAATTTTAAATTTATAAAATAAATTCTAACTCGAATTCCATCAATATTAAGTATTGAATTTTTAGGTGCGGTTCTAAATTGAGATTTTATTTTTTTATTTATTAATATATATATTTTTGGATTTTAATTGTGTGTCTGGAGTCTTATTTCGAGTTAGCGTGAAGAATAAGTTTTCTTGGTCAAATAAATTACACAATTAAACAATGGATCTGAACCACAAATTAAGGTAGCCAATCTGGTACAATTGTCCTCTATATCTCAAATAGAATTACTTACGTGGGATGATACAAGTCTAGTGCTCCTCGTGGGTACGTTAAGGGTTAATTAATTGGGCATATTAATTAAGTAATTTAAGTAGGAAGTCTCATCATTCATGATTCAGTGCCAAGTTGCCAAGGCTCGAATGACGGAGGTAATATGTATGTATATGATGATATTATTAACAAGAATTAGAATTTTAGATCACCTGATCAAAATCAATGTCTATAGCCTAGAGCTAAGCCAAAAAGTGGTTTTATTCGTTTCAAACTTTACTAACCTATAACCAAATATGGGAGTCTATGTGTTAACTTTGCTGTCAAACAATAACTAAATTAGTTCCAGTTTCTCAAATCCTCTTCCTACCAAATAATGACCTACCTTTTTCATGCAACAGCAAATCTCTGATTGCCGGATTTTCTCCAAAATTTTCTCCGTAAATATTTAATCTCTGTCCTTCTCTCAACCATGTTTAAAACCCTAGCCGGTGCTTCTCTTTGAACATTTCCCAAAAGGTCTCCCCATCCAGTGAAATCAGGTTTGCCATGGTTTAGAAATTGTTATTTTTACACAGTTTTACTGATTTTCTATCTCAATACCATCATCCAAAATTAAAAGGCATTATATTTTTCATCTTCTCTTGTAGTTAGTTATTGTTTTTCTAACAGAAAATAAGTTCGTAACATGAACGGATATCATATATATAATTTTGTAACAGCCCCTTTTTAATTTTTTTCTTACCTTTCTTTCTTTATCTTCTATTGATATTGTGCCTATGTAATTTTTCAGTATTACAATGGAAGAAGACATGCACAGCACAATTTCCAACGCCAAAACAAATGTGATTGCAGAAGCTTTTGATTCAAGCAACTTCACTTATTCATCTTATGCACTCAATCGGTCAAGACCGGATGGTTATCCATCTTCGGCAAAATTCAAAGGAGTTGTGCAGCAGGCAAACGGACACTGGGGAGCACAAATCTATGCCAATCACCAACGAATTTGGCTTGGGACTTTTAAATCGGAGATGGATGCAGCAATGGCTTATGACAGCGCTGCCCTAAAGCTTCGGAGTGGAGACTTTCATAGAAACTTTCCATGGACCAGTTCTACTATTCATGAACCAAGCTTTCAAAGCCATTATAGTACAGATAAAATTTTGAACATGATCAAGGATGGGTCTTATCCGTCAAAGTTTGCAGATTTTTTGACAAGTGAAAAGGCAGAAAAAGAATTACATCTAAACTTGGCAAAAGTGCATGGAAATGAGGGGTTTTCTTGTAAACTACTTTTTCAAAAGGAGCTAACTCCAAGTGATGTGGGTAAGCTGAATAGACTTGTCATTCCAAAGAAATATGCTGTTAAGTATTTCCCTTATATTCCTGAAAATCCAGAAGAAAATGTGATTGGTGGGAAGGTGGATGATGTTCAACTTGTATTTTACGATCGGCTGATGAGGTCGTGGAAATTTAGGTATTGCTACTGGAAGAGTAGCCAGAGTTTTGTATTCACCAGGGGATGGAATCGATTTGTCAAAGAAAAGGAATTAAAGACAAATGACATAGTAGCCTTCTACATGTGTGAAGTTGGAGAAAGAGAAAAAGAAGGGCAAGCATTCTGCATCATAGATGTAGGTTACAAGGGGGACTCGAGCAACAATGGCATGGCTGCAGGATTCAACCAAAATGTTGGGTTACAGGCCGATCTATGTCTAAGGTTGGGACAAAAATTCAACTGCATATTAGTCAATCAAGAAAAAGAAGACTTTAAAGATATAGTGCCAACACCCAATGTGGAGAAAAAAGGTGTTAGGCTTTTTGGGGTTCAGATAGATTAGGTGTTTCTTTTCCCTTTTTTGGTTCTAGGGTTTTAGTTTTTTTGCTCAATGGAACCTCTGCGTGCAACGTACTAGCTTATTATTTATTTGGATTGTTATAGAAGTGAAGTGGAAAATTCACTCTAATGTGGTGGATCACTAATGTCAAAGTTTTGCAGTCGGACTGCATGTATGAAGGGTTCTTTTAAAATTGAAGCAAGAAGAACCATGTGCAACTTTTGCATTTTTAAAGTGATACGCAATCTTAATTCAGCTGTGAACTCATTCTTTTGGCAGCTAATTATGATCTATTTTGCTCCTCAAAAGATTACCTAGTAGCCTACTACAATTTTCAGATATGAACTTGACCAATAGACTAGGAACAGTTTGTAGGTCAGGTATATAAAGAACATCACAAAGCTAGGTGTCATAAGGCATAAGGTTGGGAATGGAGCTTTTACAAGTTTATGGATGGACTTCTGGTTACCCAATGGTCCTATTGTCACTCAATTAGGCCTTAATGATATGGAAATTCTTCAACTGGACAGCCTTGCCACAGTTGATAGGCTAATTTTCACAAATCATTGGTTAATTCCACACTCAATGCAATACCCACATTTCTTCCAGTCACGCGACTTCCTGGATCAGCTTCATTCTCTTCCTCCACCATCATTTAACCAGCATTGTATGGTTACCTTGCTCCACAGGAGAATACTCTCTCTCACACCATGTCTTACTTCTCTCCTCCATCTCCTTCATTTGAATGGAATGATCTTGTTTGGTTTAAGCATAATATACCCAAACACAGTTGTATTTTTTGGCTTGCTGTGAGACGAAGGCTTTACACTTTTGACTCGAAGCCAATGATCAACCAACATTATGTCAGTAAGTGTTATTTGTATTGCTCAGATTGTGAATCCATGGATCACTTGTTTTTTAACTGTCCTTATAGTACTCAAGTTTGGAGATTCATCCAGCACATTGCAGGCTTTTACATCCTCCTTAATTGTTGGTCAGACCTGGTTAAGTGGTGTTCAAACCACTGGAAATCTCAAAGTTTTTTGACACATAAGCTGCTGTTGTCTGGTGCAATCTATTTCCTTTGGCAGGAAAGAAATGCAAGGGTGTTCAGAAACGTTGGAGCACCTCCACAACATATAAACTCTCAGATTAAGTCTTGCACCAGAGCAAAACTTGCTTCAATCAACCTAAGAAGGACCTCTGATCTGTCTCTCATTTCCACAGAGCAAGACCTCTATTATCTTTTCCTGCAGGCCTGTTTTACCTCCCATTCTCAAAGCTGGTTGCTAACGTGAAGTTTAAAATGCTGTTGCTGTCACTTGTCTATCTTGGTGGTGTATTGTCCACTTTGTTTGTTGTTGCTATTGATCTTGTGTTCCTATGTGTTGCTGGTTGTAATTATTAGCTGTGTCGTTTCTTGTTTTAGTCCCTACTATAATTGGGGCTTCTTGTACAATTCTCCATTATTTGTTCACAAGCTTACCTTTTAACAAAAAAAAAAAAAAAAAAACATCACAAAGCTAGGAACATTGAATTACATTCGATCACTCGATCAAAACTAGTGTAATAGTCTACTTGTCATACAAAGTGGTTTCAGCAATTCTCTACTATACATCCATTATGCAGGTTTTATGTCCTTTATTTATCTATGTTGTCATTCAATTTTTAAGGGAAAAGAAAATGTAGTAGAGAAATGATAATGATCGATCAATTTAAAAGTTTAATGTAGGAGAGATGAATATTACCAGGGCTTCCCTCGCGGATACATTTGGCTCTGGTGCTCCATAGTTACACTTTTGATACCTCTCAAGTGTTTTGAGCATGCTACTTTAGAAGAAAACATTTCAATTTCGAAGAAATGGAAAAATTGTATATGTTCATAAATATATATAGATGCAAATGAAGTTAAGAACTAACGCTTGCTTCAAAGAAATAAAAAGTACATTAGAAATATGGGCTATATATAACAAAGCAGATTGCATTTTAACATTGTTGGAAAGTTCTAACATGTTATACTTGTAGTTAAATAAATTCTCATTCACTTTGTACTGTTTATACTAGAGTTGCTTTAGTTAAGGTTTTTCTTTTTTCTTTTTCATAAAACACATGAGTGAGAGCATTTATTCTAGTGAGTTAACCTATATATAGGGGTGAAAGCAGCAAAGGAGCTAGAAATTTATTTCAGGGGCATATTGAACATGAAAAGTAATTTTTTTCAACTAACATGACAATTAACAATTCAACAAGACACAAGTTGAAAAATAGAAGTACAGTAATCAAGACTCAAATAGTATGTCATTGCTAGTAAAAATATTACAATAATTAAAATTCAAAAATATAAAATATATACAGAATTTTATTGCAATAATAAATTTAAATAAGAAGAATAGAGAGAGAAAAAAAAAAAAGGTTGCAGCAAATATATATCATAAAAAGCAGTAGATGAAAATAAAAAGAAAAGAAAATGATGGAACTACTTTGTTTAGAATTATTTAAATGATGGAACTACTTTGTTTAGAATTATTTTTGGATAAGGTAATTTATTGTATTATTGTAAAAATATAACTGAAGTTGCTGAACAATGAGAGTATACTGCTTATTATTTATTCATGATTTCCTTTGAAGTTGTTCTATTAAATTCTCTTCTTTACTTATTTTAATCATCCTTTAACACTTAAGTGTTGTTTGATAACCTTATTCAACCCTTAAATTAGCATTTAAAATTTGAATTTATAGCTAGCGTTCAAAATTTAGTTCTTAAAATTTTCTGCACTTCAAATTCAGTTTAATCAAACACTAAGTCCTACTAGATGTATTGTATACTATCAAAAAAAAGGAAAAAAAAAAAGAAAAAAGAAGGGGGGATAATTGGGTCTCCATTTACGAAATTCAAAGCATAACACTACCATATCTATGCTACAGACACTCAAAATACACCCAAAAGTAAAACGTGCTTGAACATTTTAGTTAATCCATAATCATGAACATATATCTATATATATATATATATATAGTTCTAATAATATTTTATGCCTAAAAAAATAAAGAGACAATTCCTGTTAAATTTAGTAACAGGAGAACTTAGAGTTTTTGGTACAGACGTCAAATCGTTTCAGTCTGAACAATTCTTTAACTCAAAGTCATCCAAAATACCGATTTAATTTTTTTGTTACTGATATGAATCCAGATATTAGCGAAACTGGAACTACTTCAAACAAGAGAGATGTACATAAAAACCACAGAAAGGAATTGAAAATACGAGCAATTAACTTTTGTCTTTGGTGGGGAAAGAAGGAAATCTGGAAGAAGAAAAAAAACCAGTCGAATCTTTTTGGAAAGATTAAACCTTTACGGAGAAAGAGAACTAATCAAGGCTATTAGGAGATTAGGTGGACCAAAGGAAGCCAAACTTCAGATGCAGCTATTGAAATGACTCCATTGAGCAAAGGAAATAATATATATATATATATATATATATATATATATAAAGAGAGAAAATAAACAAAAGAATTTAGAACAGAATCTTAAGAAACAAAACCCTAATAAATCAAGGACGATAATACAAGAGAAAAATACAGTATAAATAGAGTGAAAACCCTAAAAACATGGAAATCATAAAATATCTGATACACATAATCCAAAATTATCTTAACAGATAGTAAGAGTTATGTGATCAGGAAAGAATAGTAAGAAAAATTGATCTGTTTTGAGAAGAATAAAAAAGTCAAGCTGAGACCTTGATAGTGCAATATGTTAAGGCTTTCTTTTACCAAAATCAAAATTTTCAATTAGCTTCATCGACTCTCAGAGATGTCCAAAGAAAATATTAGATCAGATCACTTTTTTTCTTTTTGCTAATTCAGATCAATATTGAGAATATATATATATATATATAATAAAGAAATTAAAAGAGAAGGTTAAGAGAAGTACTTAGAACAAAGGACGCATCACAAATTATAACTTATGTTATATAATGCTATGTCCATCTACTTTTCATGGTTTCCACTTGCAGATCTAACAACAACACAAGCACAAAATTCTAAAAACACCAAAACAATCACAGAAACGGAAAATTCAACGGCAAAAGAGATTAAACTTTTCATTTCACAATTTTAACAACACCTGAACCAGCAAAAAATCTAAAAAAAAAACATATTTTCACTAAACAAATTAGATCTAAAAGCAGATCCAGTCAGGAAAAAAAAAAACAAAAAGAAACAAGAAATCGCCATATATAAAGAGAAATGGAATGATAAAACGAACGAAAAAGAGAGAGCTTTGAAGTCTAGTTTTTTTGTAGGTCAATACATATATATATACACACAGACATACATACACACACACATATATATATATATGTACCTGGAGCTACTGCAGAACTCGTACAGCTTTCCTCTATTGGAGAAGATGATGAGCGCGACTTCGGCATCGCAGAGGACCGAAAGCTCGTAGGCTTTCTTCAAAAGGCCATTTCTTCGCTTAGCGAAGGTCACTTGCCTGTTAATTTTGTTCTCTATCCTCTTCAACTCAACTCTCCCTCTTCCCATTTTCTCTCTCTAACCCCTTTTTTTATCAATTTCTCTCACTAAAATGCACACACAGATTTTTCAGCTGCTCACTCTGCTTTTAGGTTTTCTTACCTTGTATCGCTATATATATGCAATGTACATAGTATGCGAGAGTACCCTAGAAGTCTACTATAATGTTATGTTTCTCTCTCTAAGATTCTCTCTCTCTCTAAAACTCCCCCTCTCTCTCTTAGTAGTGAATATTTAAGACACTAACAATGATAAGACACTCTAATTAAGCAAATTGGAATAAGCGATAATGTGGTGCTTCTCAGTTGTACGTTATGCATTGCATGACGAGTGGTTGTGATTCGATTAGGCGGTGAATCGGACGGTGATGAAGTGTGGAATCGAAGCAGTGGAAAGGATTTGTGTAAAGTGCGAGAAACCTTGAAACCGATGAGTTACTGAATGTAAAGTGCTACGTGTCGAGAGCTTAAGGGATCCTGACGAGTTCTTAACGAGGATGGTCCGGGCAATCATGTGACCTAACCTTAAACAAGTTAAACCTCATTGGGTTCATATATTTACGGAAACGCCCCCTTGTGTCATTTATTGACCATAATGCCCTTCGATTTATTTTTCTTGTTATTCCCAAAAAAAATAAAAAATAAAAAATAAAAATAAAAAAATTAATGCTTAACCATTTCTAGAGTTAACCCCTTTTCTGTGATCACATGGCATGTTCCCATCATAAATTTGGCCCGATAAAATCAATGTCAAATTAAGACTCTTGCCTAACAGGACTGGGAGGGATGAAAATCTAATTTCAATGGTAAGACATTGGATTTCATATTTTCATTACGTTTTAATAATTCATATATTCGTTAAGGATTCGTTTAGTTAGTTAGAAATTGATGATGAAAAGTAAAAGAAAGGAAAGTGAGGTGAAAGAAAAGAAAATTAGTTTTCTATTATGCATTTGGTTAGTAAGAAATTTTTCGGGGCATTTGGTTAGTAAGAAATTTTTCGGGAAAATGATTTTATATGTCAAAATTACCCTTATGAATTTAATAGTAAAATAATAATAATATATACAATTAAATAATAATAATATTAGTAAAATAATATATACAATTAAATTACCCTTATGAATTTAATAATAATAATAATAGTCATAAAATAATATATATAATTGGATTTATAAATAAATATATATGTCTAGATATGTATGTGTCTCTTTATATAGTTTTTTTTTTTTTTTTTTGGAAGTTTTCATTTTATATTAGGAATCTGTTATTGGATTAGTTTACTATATTTTGTAGGTGTAGCAAAGAATTTTAATTTCAAGAGTAAAAGAGTTGTAATCAATTAAGGAGTATTAATTTGTGTAAGAAAACTTTCCTTTTGTGAGTATGAAGAAATAAAAAGAACATTTTATACAAGGATATAAGAGGAAATTAATATATAATGATATAACCTTCACGCCAAACTAAAATTTTTGCGTGTTTTATAGAGGAAACATTTTGAGAAAAATCAAGCAGTTGCAGGAATATTACTTTCCTGAAAACTTTCATTTTCATGCTAACCAAACGGCTAAAAATCTTAAAAATTTTATATTTCTTTTCTTTTCTCGCTAGTTCACGCTAATCAAACTAACCCTAATGGTTAAAGTCGATAAATTTAAGAAATATTAAGACACCGCGAAAGCTGGTTAGTGTCTAAATAATAATAATAATATATTTTTTTAATCAAAACAAATTTAACTCTATATTTAGAGCACAATTGATAAAGTTGGTAGATCTTTTTCTTTTCTTTTATTTTTTATTTTTTTACGAAAGACATGAAGCTCAAACTCAAGACTTCCCTTAAAGAAATATGGACTTAGTAAATAGATTTTGTTATACAATTATAGATTGAAATATCAATTGGAGCTAAAATGCAAACTTCACTATTTTTTTGTAAGAAGAAAATAGCATATAATTTCTTTACATAATGCTATAGGTGGTGGTGGTGTGAATTATGAAATTATAATTAAAAGAAGAAAAAAAATAGAGCAATTATTAATCATGCAAGACTATTTTCTAATGTCACATGTGAAACTGTTGTATGTGTGTGGATGCTCGCTAGGTCTCAAAATCAAATCAAACAATGAGGTAAGCTTCTCTGTCCTTTCCTTTAGCAGTTGAGAGCACTCTTTTCTTTCAATTTCTTTGAATGTCAAGTCATCTGTGGTATATTTAAAACTCAATTAGCAATATAAATTAACAAACAATATTGCTTTTACATATTAGGCAATAAAATGTTAACATTGGCCAAAGTAGTGTGACTACACCACCCCAAGTTGACCAGTACCCTCCTCAATGGAGAAAAGACCATTTGCCCTAGTTGAGCCAAATATTTGAATACAATAATGGCATATCTGCAGGTTTCAATTGATTACTTGTATAGCTAGATAATACATATTTGATACAAATTTGGCTCATAATATGTGGGGGCGTAAGTTGTACAGCTAATTCTGGCAATGAATGCAACCAATACAAAGTGTCCTTGAGACCTCCTTGTACAGTTTCTCCTTTTCAATAAACCATTTTTATTTTCAAAAAAATAAAAATAAAAAAATTGCTTGGTTAGTGAGCAAATTCTTGGTATCTTTTGCTTGTAAACACAAGGTGAGACATATAGATATTAGGGTAAATTATGTTGGATCTCTCTGAGGTTTGTGCAAATTTAATATGGATATAGCGTTCAACATTTATTACTTGACCTTCTCTAATCATGTTCGTTTGTGTCGGAATATGACTTTGAATGTAAAAAAATCAATAATTTGCTTATATTTATTTATCATTATATTATATTGCAAATATTTGTTAATCTGCCAACGGGCGTTAGCCTTCCCAAATTGGGAGGTTGAGTAATATTCGAGCCTCGGTGGATGCAAAATATATATAGTGGGTGTGTATTTTTGCTCAAACTTTTGAAAAAGATATATATATTTGTTAATCTGAAAAATCACGTGACCAATATGTAATTTGTCCAAACATCCAGAGAGGTCAGTATAATTTATCATATTGTCTTTTCATATAGGGGAAGGGTAAAATTATCATTTTATAAAATTTGGTCAACAGTTTTGTCGAAAAGAGAACGCTAGGAGTGTCGTTGAGCACATGTGCTAAAATTTTGGGGAGGTCAAAAAATAAATACTGAACAACCTATCTAGGTGTAATTTGCCTAAACCTTAAGGGTGGTCAATGTTATTTCCCCTATATATTAGTGACTTTATCCCTCATGAATTATTCTGCATTTATGAATAACTCTTTGAACTTCAAAAACCATCCTGAACTATAAAAGATTTGCACATCAACTCCTCTTTGTGATGAAATCCCATAACCAGCCTTTAAAAATGAGAATGAAAAAATCAAGTTAGAAAATTGATTTTGAAATGAAAAATTATCTAAAATTGAATTGAGACCATAGGATCTACTATTGAAATAACCCAACTGATTTCATGATTTTTTAGTACTAAAAATAGATCCGTCCATATACTATTATTGTACGGACTAATTTGGTCTTGAAAGGTTACATTGGCCCTATAAGAGCATCTTTAATACAAAATGCTATATTTACATACCAAATCTATATTTTGAGAGAAATTATAATGTCAAAATGTTATATTTTTACAATTCTACTCTAATGATCTATTTTTAGTACTAAAAATAGATTCGTCCATATGCATTTCATCTAAAATGCTATTTTTTGACACAATAACCATTCCATTTGTTTGAGAGTCCATTGGAGTACTTTGTTTTCATTTTTTGACATGCTTGGTTTGTAATCCTAAAAATAGTTCTCAGAAACTCAAAAAATAAAGAATAATTTTTAAAAAATTATAAAAGACAATTATTTAAAGTAGATTTTATTATTATTGAATTTCAAAAAATTGTGTTTTCTAATTTTCAGTTCTCTAAAAATAGAAAATAATTTTCAGAGTGACAAATCAAGTAAGGCCTTAATATTGTAAGGGCCTGTATTCTAAATTGATAATTCAGAGTGGTTATTTGCAAATTTGAGAAAATTGAATAGGGATTTTTACATTTTACCATTTTAGTGTGAAATTAGGGTGTGGTTTAATGACAACTATTTAATATTATTTTTTTCCCCTTTTCTAATATATGGTATGGGATCGATCCTGATTTCTAACCGATTATGAATGGTAATAAATAGGTTCTCAAATGATATTTTATGAAATGAAATGATAGTGTTAGGATTGATTGACTAATGAAGGAAAAGTGAGAAAAAAAAAATAAAAAAATAAAAAAAATTGAAGGAAAAGAAATAACTTAGCATCCCTCTCCTTTTCTTTTCCTTCCTATTTTTTGTTTTCCTCTTCATTTTCATTTCCAAATACAATATTAGGATAATAAATAAAAAAAGTTTAAATTTTTTTTAAAAAAGGGACAAAAGAGGTAATTACTAATTGTCCTATCATTTCCCTCTAGTTCTCACTACTTCCAGAAAGGGTAAGAAAAAGAAAGTCACTGCGGAAGGGACAAAAGAGGTAATTACTAATTGGCCCATATCATTCCCCTTTTCTTTTTCTTTTTTATCATTCCTTTTCCGTCTCATTTATAAGGATGGCAACAGGGTGGGTTTGGAGCGGGTTTCCTTAAATCCCGCCCCGCCCCTTTTAATTTTTGTCAAGTCCATGCCCGCCCCGAGACTCGTAACGGGTTGGATTTTCATGTCCAGCCCCGCCCCGTTGGGAAATACTGTGCCCTCATGCCTGCCCCGCAAACAAATTTTTTTTTCCCACTTTTTGGAACTTAAACTCCTGCTATTTAAATGTGGAAAGCCTGAGAATGGCACAATATAAATGAAATTATGTATCTCAACAAAAATAAAAAAATAACATGCACATAACATAATTCAGACAACATAATAAATAAAAATAAAAGTTTAATACAACTAAATCACAAGAAGTTCTAAGCTCCAACTTCCACCACAACCAAATTTAAAGTAAATTTAATACCAAATTTACATCCCAAATTATGATGGTAAGAGATGGG